CGCTCTGAGGATCCCCCGGCCGCGGCCGCGGCCGCGGGCTTTTTTCGCTCCTCGGCGGGCGGCGCGGCGGCCGCGCGCTTCGCGGCCAGCTCCTCGAGCCGCGCGCCCGTCTTCGTGCCCTCGAGGCCGTCGAGCGCGGAGAACTGGGCCGTCGCCTCGGCGACGATTTTCTCCGCGTCCTTGGCGCCGCCGCGGAGGCCGCCGCGGTCCTTGATGATGCCCGCGACGAGCGCGTGGTCCGCGGCGAGCGCGAGGTCCAGGGGCGTGTGGCCGTCCTTGTCGCGCGCGTTGACGTCCGCGCCGAACTCGTCGAGGAGCAGCTTGACGCTCTCCACGGGCAGGCCGTTGTCCGCGGCGTCGCAGAGCGCCGTGGATCCGTCGCCGCGGCGCGCGTCGACGCGCGCGCCGTGGCGGCCGAGGAGCGCGCGGAGCGCCGCGGGGCGCCGCACGGCCGCGTGCACGGGCCGCGCCTTGGACAGCGCGTGGACGACGTCGTCGACGGCGACGGCGCCGGACGCGAGCGCGGCGTCGATGCCCGCGACGTCGCCGGCGGAGCACGCGCAGAAGAGCCTTTGTCGCGCGGCCTTGCGCGCCGCGGGGGGCGCCGGCGGCGGCGCCGGCGGCGCGGGCTTCGGCGGCGCGAGCCGCTGGCCGCGCGTCGCGCGCGCGAGGACCTCGAAGGGGTCGCTCGTCGGCGTCGGGAGCGCGGCCGGCGCGGCGGCGTCGTCGTCGGTCTCCGGCCGCGGCGCGGCGCCGTCGTCGGTGTCCGCCCGCGGCGCGGCGACGTCGTCGGTGTCCGCCCGCGCGGGCGCCGCTTCTCCGGGATCGGGCCGCGGCGGCGGCGCGGCGGCGTCCTCGCGCTCCGCCGCGGGCCGCGCCGCGTCGGCCGGCGCGTCCTCGTCGAGCGATGCCATCGAGGGCACGCCCGCGAAGAGGTTGTCGATGCCCGCGTCGATGGACGCCATGGCCATGTCGATGCTCCGCGCGTCCTCCGGCGAGGTGCCGCCCGTGCGCGGGTCGAGATGCAGGCCCATTTTCGCGAAGAGCTCGCGCGGCGACCCGTCCGGCCCGCCGCCGAAGAGCGAGTCGGTTGCGAAGTCGTTCGCGACCGCCATGCTGCGAGATTTTACGCAGCTATTCGGAGCTCATGCTCGCGAGTGATGATCACACAGGCCGTCGATGCAGTCAACGTGCAGCGGCAGCCCGCGTGCGCGCGATGGGGCAGCATCACAGCGCCGTCGCGCTGCTCCTGTCGCTCGTGGCCGTCGCGTGCGGCGGCGGCATCCCGCGGCTGCTGCTCACGTCCCACGCGCTGCCGCTGGCGGACGTGCCGGAGGCGCTGCGGTCCAACGTCGAGAAATGGCGGTCGCTGAACCCGACGTTCCGCTTCGAGTACTTTGACGACGCGGCGCAGGCGGCGTTCATGGCGTCGTCCTGCGCCGCGCCGCGCTGCGCCGAGGCCTACGGCGCGCTGCGCTCCGGCGCGGGGCGCGCGGACCTCTTCCGCGTCGCGTTCCTCTATTACCGCGGAGGCTGGTGGTTCGACGCGGACCTCAAGCCGGGCGACGTCGCCGCGAGCTGCGGCCTCGAGGCCGCGGAGGACCTGGGCCTCTTCGTCGTGCGCGAGCCCAAGCACGGCCACGTGCGCTTCATGGTCCTCGGCGGCGCGGGGCACCCGTTGTTGTACGCGACGCTGCGGACGCAGATCGCGAACGTCTTCGAGGCGCGGGCGCTGCCCTCGGCGAAGCGGCCGCGCACGCTCCACGTGACGGGGCCCTTCACGCTGGGCCGCACGCTCTGCGACCCCTTCCGCCACGCGCCCATGGCCGACGCGCTCGAGCGCGGCTTCGACGCCGCGGCGGTCGACGCCGCGGCGGCGGACGTCGCGGCGAACTGCGACCGCGGCGCCTTCCGGGGCCGCCGCGCCGTCCTCGGCGGCGACGACGCCGCCAAGGAGAAGGCGTCGGCGGACTGGGCCGACACCTACGGCGCGGGCTCGCCCCTGGCCTTCCGCTTCGACGGCTGCCGGGGCGCGTGGCACCGGCCGGGCAGCCCGATGTCCTACGCCGACGTCCTCGCGGCCATGAACGTGACGCACCACCTAAAGACGACCGCCACCTAAAAGACGAGGCGAGCTCGAGCGGCACCTTCAAAGTTTGCGTTGTCAACCGTTGGGAAGCCCGCTCATTTGCCGGCAGCCCAACTCCATCAGCCGCCGGCCGCAGCGGCGCCCGTCGACGGCGCGGTGCGCTCGCCGGCCGGCGCGGTGCGCGGCGCGCGCGGCGCCGGCATGGCGACGACGGGCGAGCTCGAGGGCGACCTGCGCTACATCATCCCCGGGCGCTTCGCCTGGTGCTGCATCCCCGAGCGCATTTTAGCGCGGGACCCGGAGCCGAAGATCGCCGGCGCGCGCTGCTTCTGCACGGACTCGACCTTCGTCTACGAGCAGTTCTTCGCCGACTTTGGCCCGCTGAACCTCGGCTGCGTCGTGCGCTACTGCCGCGCGACGGCCGAGCTCCTGCAACGATGCGGCGACGAGAAGCTGGTGCTCGTGCACTACTGCAGCGACCACCGGCACCGGCGCACGAACGCGGCCTTTTTGGCCTGCGCCTTCGCCGTCGTCGCCCTGCGCTGGAGCGTGCGCCGCGCCTACGCGCCCTTCGTCGACTGCAGCCCCCCCCTGCACCCGTTCCGCGACGCCGGCTTCGGCGTGTGCACGTACCAGCTCCTCCTCGTCGACGTGCTCCGGGGCGTCGCCAAGGCCCTGGCGCTGGGCCATCTGGACTACGCGACCTTCGACTGCGACGAATACGACCGCATGGAGCGCCTCGAGCACGGCGATCTGGCGTGGATCAGGGCAGCAAAAGAGAGCGAAATTCCCAACTTCAAAGGCTCCGATCTCGGCCGTTTTCCACTCGTTTCGGCTGATTTTTGGACGAGCGATCATCTCTCGGAACGGTCTCGAAGCGTGGATGCTTTTGTCGGAACGCGCGCGAGCGGAACACTCACGTTGAAGCGACGTTGAATCACCCCAGGCGTGGATCGTGCCGCGGAAGTTCATCGCGTTCTCGAGCCCGCTCGCGCGGCGCCGCGAGATCGCGCCGGGCGTGCACACCTTCGCGCCGGAGGACTACGTGCCCCTCTTCCAGCGTCTGGGCGTGACCTGCGTCGTGCGCTTCAACAAGAAGCTCTACGACAAGCGCGCGTTCACGCGCGCGGGCATCCGCCACGTCGAATTGTTCTACGAGGACGGCGGCAACCCGTCGGAGCAGATCATGCAGCGCTTCATCCAGGTCTGCGAGCAGGAGCCGGGGGCCATCGCCGTGCACTGCAAGGCGGGCCTGGGCCGCACGGGCACGAACATCGGCGCCTACATGATGAAGCACTGGGGCTACAGCGCGACGGAGTGCATGGGCTGGATGCGCGTCTGCCGCCCGGGCTCCGTCATCGGGCCCCAGCAGCAGTTCATCCTCGACGCCGAGGACCGCCTCTGGCGCGAGGGCGACATCTTCCGCCGCCAGCGCGGCAACTGGCCCGAGCAGCCCCTCCCGGACCACGCGGCCCGCTCCGACGCCGCGCCCGCGGCCTACCTGCCCGCGGCCGTGCCCGCGCCCCTCTCCAACGCGCGCGGCCACCCGAGCTCCCGCAAGGCCGGCCGCGACACCCACGACAACTTCGTCCAGGGCAACGGCCGCCGCCGCACGACGGGGTAGTTTTGGCACTTCCGTTGGCTCTAATTTATTAGCTTCACGCTGACTTGCACACGCGTTGCAGATCGTGGGACGATTTGTGCATTTTGTGCGCAAGGTGGGCTCGGGTCGAATCCCGCGTGTTCCGCGTGCCGCACGCGCCTTCTTCGACGCGCCCCATCGCCGGGTGATTGCGCGTTCGTCTTATCTTCCTCGCGCGAAGCCGTGGACGAACGCTCGACGCTTTTCCCGCCATTTTGGTGAAGCTGACTCAACTTCCACTCGAGGTGCAGCACGGCTTCGGGGCCCAGATCTCGTCAATTAGCCGCTTAAAGACGGCGACCTTCGGTCCCCCGATTCCCCCCATCACCATGCGCCACTCGGCGCAAATCGCGCCGGCCCTCTACGACGAGTCCGGCGATCCGGACGACGTGCTTTCGTCGATCCCGAGCAACTACACGGAGTTCAGCAAGACGCCGCAGCGCGTCGTCGCCGCGCCGCTCTACGAGAAGCAGCGCCAGTACAAGACGCGGCTCTGCCACTTCGGCGACGACTGCCCCTACGGGCCCGAGCGCTGCTTCTTCGCGCACAGCGAGGCCGAGGTTCGGACGCCGTCCGCGCGGTGGTGGATCCGCGAGTACAAGACGCGGCCCTGCCGCTACTCCTGGGACGAGTGCCCCTTCGCCGCCGACGGCCGCTGCCAGTTCGCCCACTCCGTCGAGGAGCTCAAGCAGGCGCCCCCGCAGCACGCGGCCAAGTACAAGACGCGCATGTGCAAATACGCGTTCAGCGGCACGTGCCGCCACGCGGAGTCCTGCTCCTACGCCCACAGCGCGGCCGAGCTCCGCACGGTCCCGGGCGCCGGCGCGCCGCCGCCCCTCGGGGCCTACGCGCCGACCTTCTGCCCGCCGGCCGCGGCGCCGGCGCCGCCGCGGCCCGCGGCGCCGCCGCGCGCGGCGCCGCTCGCGCCCAACTGGGCGCCGGCCTACGCCGACGAGGTCTACTGCTACCCCGCGGCCGTGCCCGTCGCGGCGCCGGCGCGCGACGACGTCGAGGGCGACCTCGTCGACAAGCTCGAGCGCCTCACGACGCTCCGCGACAACGGGAGCATCTGCGGCGACGAGTTCGCCGCGCTCAAGAAGCGGCTCATCGAGAAGCCGTGAGGCCGCTCGCTGGAATCTCACGGCTCCCCGCCGGAATCTCATGCAATTCGCCCATCGGTATCGAATCGATCGAATCGCGCCCGTCCCCGCGCGAGACCTAGCTGTAATGTCCCTTTCGCTTCTGACTCGAGGGAGCGGCCCATGGTCGTGGCCGAGAAGTCGTCTTCTTCGGTCTTTACGGGAATGCCCCGCCTAGCGCGTCGCGAGGATCATGTCCTTCCACGCGCGGACGAGCTCCCCCGCGGGCGCCTTGACGACCTCGGCGCCGTGGAAGCGGAGGCGGCCGACGAGCTTGCCGACGCCCGTCGACGTCAGGAGCTCGTAGGAGAGCGGCTTGGCCGCGAGCGTCCGCAGCTTCGCGACGATGGCGTCGCCGTCGCCGCCGTCGACGGCCTCCTGGAGCGCGGCCGTCGCCGCGCCGAGCGCCGCCGCGGTCCAGCCGTTGGACGGCTTGAGCGCGTCCTGCTTGCGCCTGCGCGGGTGTCGGGGCCGTATACTTCGCTGCCGCGAACGTCTCGTCGCGGGGAAACCTGTGCGGCCCGCGCCGGCGGGGCCGGAGCCCTCGCCGGCGACGCTCTCTCTCGGGGGTCCCGCGTGGCGCGGGGCGCGCCGCGCCGCGAGGTCGGGGTGACGCGGAGGTCGCCTCGCGGCGCGGCGGGCGCGCGCCCCCTCCTCTCGTCGGTCGCGGTCGGACGCGGGGACGCGGACCGGCCGGCGGCGGGCTTCCGCGCGGCGGCCTTGGGCTTCTTCCGCGGCGCCTCCTCCTCCTCCTCCTCCTCCTCCGGCGGGGGCTTCCGCGCGGCGGCCTTGGGCTTCTTCCGCGGCGCCTCCTCCTCCGGGTACTCCTCGATCTCGTCCTCGTCGCTCGAGTCGCCGGCCGTCGGCGGGCCGCTCAGCGGTTTCGACTTCTGCGACAACTCGGTGTCGTTGAACTCCGGCGCGAGCGTCCGCTGCGCCGCGACCTTCTTCGCGCGCGGCTTCTTCTGCTTGGGCGCCGGCGCGGGCTCGGGCGCGGGCTCGGGCGCCGAGTCCGCCGTCGGCTCGACGCTCTCTTCCGGCTCTTGCGCCATCAATTCGGTTACGTGGTCCTTAATCACCGCCTTGAAGGGCTTGAGCTCAGACTCGTCGACCTCCAAATACGTGCTCATCGTCTTCCGGATGTGTTTAACGGTAATCTCTCCGTCGTCGAACAACTTTTTCAACGCGCTGTTCGTTTTCAACAATTTGTTCGTGGCGTCGATGACGAGCGCGTTCGTAAGCCCGTGGACCTCGACGCGTTGCGCGAGAGACGGGGAGGACGCGGGCGTCGCCATCGCGTGCGTGGGGTGCTTTCGGGCCGTTTCGTCGATGGACGGTTCTGCTGATCGCGCGCGTCGTGGGCGCGGCGCGGGTGGTTATGCGCGTGGTGTCGGTTGTTATGAGCGTTTTGGTGGCGCTGTATATGCCGTGGTAGGTGTGCTTGCGGTGTGGACGACACTGCCAAGACGACACGGCGCCGCCGCGGGACGCCGATCGTGAACGATCTCGGCACCCACGGCTGCGAGGACCTCAACATATGTACATGGGGGGACGCAAGAGGCGTCGCGCTTCGTCAAATTACTCCTCCCCCTCCAGCCCCAGCTGCGCCAGCTTCGGCGCGACCCGCCCGTAGACCAGCATGCCGTCGGCGCCGATCGCGACGACCCTCAGGATCGGCGACAAAAGCGAGCACGCGTCCACGGCGCCGTCGCGGCCGTAGATCACCAAAACGCGGCCCTCGAGCTCGGGCTGCGTGCGGCCGATCTTCAGCGTCACGTTGGCGCGCGCGACGCCGTCGGCGCCGGGCGCGTAGACGAGGCCCGCCCAGGGGTCGCGCGTCAGCCGCCGGCCGCGCGCGTCCTCCGTCGCGTGGGCCAATTCGCCGAAGTCGTCGTGGCACGACTCGCCCTTGTGGATGCGGAGGCCGCAGGAGTGCGCCGCGGCCGGGTCGGGCCCGCCCGCGCAGGCCGGGTCGACGTTTTCCAGCGCGTAGGCGAACTTTTGCACGGGCTTGTGGTTCTCGGTGGTCACGGGACCCAACGACCCGCCCACGAACCTCCGTCCCGAGAACTCCGCGGCCTCGAGCGCGGGCGTGAGGCCGAGCGTCGCGCAGGCGACGCGCGCGCCGTCAAAGTCCGTGACCACGACGGCGCGGCTTTCCATGGCCGGCTGGCGGAGCCCCGTCTTCAGCGTCACCTTGCCGCGCGTCGCGCCGTGCGCGTCCGCCGCGTACGTCACGTTCGCCCAGGGGTCGTCGTCCGTCTCGTAGACGCGCCCGCCCGCGTCCCCGAAGCAGTGCGTCGCCTCGTGCACCGCGACGCCGCAGCCGCCGGGCGCGTGGCCGCCGGTGCCGCACCGCGCGTCCGCGCCCCGAAGCTCGTAGGTCAGCAGCGTGATCGCGACGACGCTGTGCTCCGTGACCAGCGGCGCGACGCGGCCGGCGACCTCCAGCGGCCCCGCGTAGCCGTCGTAGCGCCGGAAGTCCAGCGCGCCGAGGGGCGCCATGGACCGGAGCATCGCGCAGGCCGCCCGGTCGCCGTCGTAGTCGAAGACGAGCACGGGCCGGTCCTCGAGGTCCGCGTGCGGGAAGCCCGTCGTCACGCTCACGGTGCCCGCCGCGACCCAGCCCAGGGACGTGGGCTCCGCGACGTAGCGCACGCCGCGCCAGGGGTCCTCGGAGACCGTCGTCGACCCCTCGTAGTAGCTCCGGCCGCTCTTCTTCGCGCAGGACACGCCGAGGTGCACGTGCAGCCCGCAGGAGTCGTCGACGCCCGGCGCCGGCCCGCCGGCGCAGCGCGGGTCCACGCCGTCGAGCGCGTAGGCGAAGGTCTGCGTCCAGAGGTCCGACGTGAGGGGCCCGACGCGGCCCGTGACCGCGAGGGGCCCGCCGTAGCCCACGTAGGGCGCGAAGTCGTCGCTCTGCAGGGACTCGAGGAGCGTGCCGTGGCCCGCGACGCCCGGCAGCGCCAGCCAGCACACCGCGACGCGCATCACCGCCATCAGGGGCTGCTGCGAGTAGAGGCCGCCATCGTGGGCTGCCCAAGGCAATGGTGAATATCAAGTTCGGGGGAAGGTGCCGTTAGTTTGGGAACGTCAGCTAGGCGCGCTTCTTGGCCTTGAGGAGCGCGACGGCGGCGAGCGCCGCGGCGGCGACGACCGCGACGGCGGCGCGCTTCGCGGGCTTGAGGAGCGGGTCGGGCTCGACGCCGACGAGCTTGTCGAGGCTCGCGTCGTCGTAGACGGCGACGGGCTCGACGAGCTTCGCCGCGTCGACGACGGTCGCCGCCATCTCCGCGGCCTTGGCCGGCGCGCAGGCGACGGCCGTCGCGGCCGTCGCGTCGTCGAAGAGCGGCGCGACGTACGCCTTGATCGCGTCGAGCGCGGACCGCTCCGTCACGGCGGCGACGGCGCGGAGGTACGCGCGGTTGCGGTCCGCGTCCTGGTTCAGCAGCGCCCGGCGCCAGGCCGCCGCGAGCGCCGCGGACCGCGTCTTCTCCGATTCGACGAGGCCCGACGCGAGGCTCCCGCGCGCGTTCGTGAAGTCCAAGGGCCGGAAGGGCGTCTCGCCCGACGCGTAGGCCGCGACGATGGTCCGCGCGGCGGCCAGCGCGGCGACGGGGTCCGCGGACCGGTAGAGCGAGAAGTGGACGAGGCCCTGGGACGCGTCGCCGCGCGCGGACGCGCTGTAGGCGAGGCCCGCGCCGCGGATCTTGACCCAGAAGTCGCCCTCGAGCGCGTTGAGGTACTCGAGGGCCACGGCGAGCGCCGCGTGGGCCGCGAGGGGCGCGCCGGGCCCCGGCCCGGGCCCGCAGCGCGCGACGTAGGCGCTGCCGCCCTCGAGCGCGCCGACGCCGACGACGGCGCAGCGGCCCCAGCGCGGCGGCGCGGCGGCCGCGGCCGCGACGGCCGCCGGCGGGGCCGCGTAGGCCGCGTGGGCGCCCCGCAGCGCCGCCGCGGCCGCGTCCGACGCCGCGGCGCCGAAGCCCGCGAGGTCCGACGCCGCGAGCGGGTCGCCCGCGGCCGCGCCGAGCAGGTCGCCGCAGACGCGCGCGCGGACGCGGCCCGGCCGGAAGAGGGCCTCCTTGAGCTGCACGAGGTCGCGCTTGAAGGCCTTCTCCGCGCCGAGGAGGCGGCCCGCCGTCGACAGCGCGAACTTGGCCCGCTTGAGGAACGCGCGCTGCCGCGCGGCCAGCAGCAGCCCCTCGTTCTTCGCCTCCGCGTCGAAGACGAGGCTCCGGAGGGCCATGCGCGACACGGCGTTGCCGTCGCGGAGCTCGCCCTGGAGCTCGAGGCCCAGCTTCGTCACGGCCGCGCCCAGGCGCTCGTCGTCGAGCACGTCCGTCTGCGCCATGGCCCGGCCGACGATGTCCGCGCCGGCTTTGAAGCCCAGCTCCCGCGACAGCTTCGCGCCGACGAAGAAGAGGTGGGCCGTGCCGCCGCCGCCGTGGCCGACGCCCGCGCCGTAGGACACGGTCGTGCGCCGCAGCTCCTCCACGTTGGCGTCGGCCGTGCCCCGGACGCCGTCGGCGCCGAAGACGGGCGCCTTGAAGAGCACCTCCGAGAAGAGCGGCAGGTAGCTCCGCAGGCGCGGCGACAGGCCCGACGTGTCGCAGGCGGCGTCGACGCGGCAGAACTGCGTGCCGTCGACGTGGTCGAAGGTCCAGCGCGCGTTGCCTCGCGACTCGCTCGGCGGCGCGACCGCGGTCATCGCTTTTGCCAGCGCCGCGGCCGCGGGCGCCCGGGGCTCGCAGGGCCCGCCGCCGGCGTGGTCCGCCTGCTGGGCGCTCGCGACCGTGAAGAGCTGGGACACGGCCTCGTCGAGGTCCGGCTCGGGCACGCAGTCGAGCATCGCCTCCGGGATCGGCCGCTCGTTCTCCGCGACGGCCGCGTCGAGGACGGCCTGCTTCTCCTTGAGGCCCTTGTCGCCGAGTTGTGTCTTGGCGAGGAGCACGCGCGCCGCCTCGTCGTCGCGCTCCTTGGCCGCGCGCGCCGCGGACGGCCGCGCGGTCACGACGACGCGATCGCGCGCGCCCGCGAGCGCTCGCAGCGCCGCGTCCCACTCCGCCTGGCCCACGGCCGCGCAGGCGTCTAAAAGCCCGAGGGCGTCGCTCATGGCTTTCAGGGATGTCGTGTCCTCCCGGTTCTCCGCGTAGATGAAGTGCTTGAGCGCGGGCGACACGAGAAACCCCGTGGGGTCGTCCTCGAGCGCGGACACGGAGCGGCGCCGCGACCGCGCGACGACGTCGCGCAACCGCGCCAGGTCGACGCCCTTGGCCGCCTCCTCGGCGAGGGCCGCGTCCAAAGCCCCGGGGATGGCGTCGAGCTCCGCGACGTCGACGTCCTCGAACCAGACCTGGCGATACCCGACCTTGAAGCGGTCGCTCGTCGGCCAGACGCCCGAGCACTTGCCCGCGTCGACAAAGGCCTTGGTCAACGGCGACGACGCGCCGTCGGCGAGGTACTGCCAGAGCACGGACGCCTTGGCGTCCGCGAGGAACTCGCCGTACGCCGTCGCGCGCCAGCCAAGCACGACGAGCCCCGTGGACTCGTCGGCCGCGGGGAAGTCGCAGGTCCGCTTCGGCGGGTCGCCGCCAAAGTCCAAAGCCGCGACGGGCGTCGTCCAGGGCCGCGGGAAGTCCGCGGCCTTGGCCGCGGCGGCCGCGGGCCACGACCGCTCCAACGCGCCGTCGACCGTCGCGAGGAGCTTGTCCGCGTCGACGCCGCCCGTGACCACCAAACACAAATTCGACGCGCGGTAGAACTCGGCGTGGTAGCGCTGGACCTGGCCGTTCTTGAGAGCCCGCACGTTCGCGCAGAGGCCGCCCGTCTCCGACGAGTAGCCGCACTTCGGGTACAACGCGGCTAAACATTCGCGCTCCGCGAGCGACTCGGCCGTCGTCTCGCGGCCCTGCATCTCGCAGTAGACGACGCCCTTGTCCTCGCCGCCGCCCGTGACGTGGTGCACCTCCGTCTCGAAGCCTGCCTCCGTGAGCGTCGGCCGCAGGATGTGGTCGACGTAGATCGGCAGCAGGTTGAGCAGGCCGGAAGACCCGGCCGTCGTCACCGTGTAGGCCGTGTGGTCCACGTCCGTCCAGGCGTTCGTGCCCCGGGCCAGGCACCGGTTCGCGAGCTTGTCGAGCACGCCCTTGTAGGGGTAGTCCTCGCTGCCCAGGAACACCAAATGCTCGAGCGTGTGCGGGAGGCCGTCGTCCGCGAGCGCCCAGTCCGTGTCCACGGCCTCCGTCGCGAGGCAGCCGTACAGATTCGCCATGGGCCCCGCCGCCGACGCCAGGCGCACGCGGCAGCCGGACCGCGCGTGGACCCAGGACCGCATCGTCGCGCCGGCCATCTCGAACGACGGCTGCTCGAGCCACTTGATGCCCGCGCCGTTCGTCGGCTTGGCGCCGTTGGCCTTGGCGCCGTTGGCCTTCGCCCGGGGCGGCGTCGCCGGCGCCGGCGGCGCCGGCTTCTTCCGGGGCTGCGGCGCCTTCGCGAGCTTGATCGGGTTGCCGACGCGGACCGACGGCTCGGGCTCCGGCGGCGGCGCGCCGTCCGCGTACTCGAGGCACTTGCTGCTCACCCAGCCCGCGGGCTCCGCGAGCTTCGCGCGTGGCGTGCCGTCCTTGGCCCGGCCCACGGCGATGACCGTCACGGCCTGGCCGCCGGCGATCTCCGCCTTTTTCGGGGTCGTCTTCTCCAGGCCCTCGCGCATCAAAGCGCTCTTGCCCGTGACGCGCGCCGTGCGCGGCGTCATGACCTTCGGGGAGCGCGGGGACGTGGGCGGCGTCGCCATCGTGGCTGCCAGCAGAGGTCGCAGAGATGATCAGATCAGCCGATGGACGGCGCGGCGAGCGAGGCGGCTGTGGTAAATTTGACATCAATCAAATGAGTTGCTTTTGCGATGGTCGTCGTCTCGAGGCTGTAATCACGCTCTGCGCATCCCTAGTACTCTAAAATGATCGCACGCGTGCTGCTGTTCGGCTGAAAACACGCTTCGCGCAGCGCCAGCATCCTGAAATGATCCCACGAGTGCTGCTGCTCGTCCCCGCGCTCGCGCTGAGCCGCACGACGCCGCCGGTGGTGGGCCGCGACCGGCGGGTACCGCTCGACGTGCTGCGCGCGAGCCGCGTCGCCAAGGACGTGCGGCGCGCGGAGACGGCCTGGCGCCGCGGCTGGGCGGCGGCGCCGCCGGACGCCGCGGCCTGCGACGTCGCGCTCCGCGCGCTCGGCGACGTCGGCGAGGGCCGGCGCGTCGAGAGCCTGCTCCGCGCGCTCGCGCGGGAGTCCCGCCCCTACTCGGCGTCGGCGGCCGTGTCCGCCCTCGCCGCCGCGGGCTTGAGAGAAGCGGCGCGCGCGCGCCTCGACGAAGAGGCGGCGCGCGGCGCCTGGCCCGACGTCGTCGCGCTGGGCCTCGCGGGCGACGCCGCGACCGCCGCGGCCGCCGGCGCGCCGCGCCTCGCCTCGAACTTCGCCGCCTGCGGGCCGGCCTGCGCCGCGCTCTTCGCTGCGCAGCGGCGCGGCTACGTCGACTTCCACGGCTTGGATGCGGCCCGGGCGACCCTGGCGCTCGACCTCGTCCTCGACGACGCCGGCGACCGCGGCGGCCGCGCTCCGGCCTTCGCCGGTCCGTCCCTCCTCGTCGTCACGGGCCGGGGCGCCCACTCGCCCGGCGGCGCGTCGACGGTGCGCGCGGACGTCCACCGGGTCCTCGAGGCTCGCGGCGTGCCGTTCGACGTCGCGAACGACGGCGCCGTCGAGATACCGCTCCCCGACTAAAGGCTTGTACTCCGGCGCCGTCGAGATACCCCGGCGAAGGACGCTTACTCGAGCCTCCGCGGCGCGAGGACCTGGGGCGTCCCGACGACCGTCTTGCGGTGCCGCGGCTGCCGCGGGGACGCGAAGACGGAGAAGCCGTCGAACGTGGACGCGCCGCCCTTGAAGGAGAAGGACGCGCCCTCGTCGTCTTTGTCCGCCGGCGCCGGCCGCCCGTCGCCGAATTTCTCCACGAGCGCCGCGTCCTCGTCCTGGCGGAACGTCGTCGTCCGCGGGCGGAACGGCGGCTCCGCGGCCTTCCGCGCGACGGCGCCGAAGTCGAGCGGCGCGAAGAAGCGGCGCTCCGCGAGCGCCCTGGCGGACACCAAGCGCTTCGCCGGGTCCTTGTGGAGGAGCTTCTCCGCCGAGGACCGCAGGTGGGGCTCCGCGTCGGCCCCCGGGTGCAAATGCGGCGGCTCGCGGACGATGTTGAGCATGAGCTCGCGCGGCGTCGCCGCCCCGAAGGGCGTCGCGCCCTGGACCGTCTCCACCAACAACACGCCCAACGCCCACCAGTCGAGCGCCGGCGCCGGCGCCTCGCCGCCCTTGCGCAGGAGCTCCGGCGCCATGTACTCCACCGTCCCCGCGAACGACTTCTTCCGTTCCCCGCCCTTCTTCGCCCCCGCGCCGTCCTCGACGCACTTCGCGAGCCCAAAGTCGCACAAGCTCGCGTGGCCCGCGGCGTCCAGCAGCACGTTCGCCGCCTTGATGTCGCGGTGGAGCACGTCGCGCGCGTGGAGGTAGTCGAGGCCTAAAGCGAGCTCCGCGACGACGAACCGCGCGGCCGCGGCGCCCAGCCCCCCGGGCTCGCGCTTCAGCGACGCCTCGAGGCTCCCGCCGGCGAAGTAGTCCGTCACGAGGTACAAGTGGCGCCCGTTGTGGAAGGCGAAGCGCAACCGCACGAGGAACGGGTGGCGCGCGACGAGCATGACGTCCCTCTCGAGGAACGCGTGCGACGTGAGCCGGCCCTTGTAGGTCGCCTTCTTCATGACCTTGACGGCGTAGAGCCGGCCCTCGCCGAAGCCGCCGCGCTTCCGCGCGAGGAGCACGGTGCCGAAGCCGCCGACGCCGAGGACTTTGAGGGGCGCGAAATCGTTGAACGACACCGCCTCCTCGCCGGCCCGCTCGCGCGTGACCTCGCGCGCGGCGGCGCTCAGGCGGTTCAGCGACGACTGCGACAGCTGCCGCGGCATGGCGGCCTTTTTTCCCGCCGCGGGGAAGGCCTTGGGCGCCTTCTTGCCGAAGAGCGCGCCGAAGATGCCCCGGCGCTTCGGCTTCGCCGGCGCGGACGCGGGCACCTTCTCGGGCACCTTCGGGAGCCCGCCGCCCGGCGGGTAGGTCGTCGGCCCGGCGCCGGCGCTCTCGCGCGAGCTCTCGTCGGCCGCCGGCGCGGGCGGCGCGGCCTTGCCGGGCGTCTCGACGGACGTCTCGGGGCTCGCGAGGCTCCCGCGGCCCTCGGGACTCGACGACGGGCGCTCGGCGACGAGCGCGGGCCGCGGCGGCGGCGGCGGGCTCGCGCCCGGCGTCGTCTGGGAGTTCTCCGGCGTCGGCCCGGCGTCGGCCTGCAGCAGGCTCCGGAGCGCGCGGCGCTCGTCGCCGCCGTGGCGCGTTAGAGCGTCGACGGCGCGCGGCGCGTCGAAGCCCATGTCGACGAAGCGCGCCACGAGCTCGTCGTCGGGCATAGTGCCGCCGGTGACGACACCAAAGCTGTCCGTGCCGTCCGCGTCCAGGCCCGCGAAGACGCGGCGGACGACGGCCTCGCGCGACAGTTCCTCGCCGGAGCGGCGCAGCGCGTCCATCGCGGCGCCGACGCGCGCGGCGTCGAAGCCCCCGGACGTCGCGAGCTCGTCCCGGAGCGTGCGCATGCGCGCCACGTCGTCGAGCGCCGCGGCCATGGCCGCGGCGAGCCGGTCCGGTCCGTCTTTCTCCGCGAAAAGTAGCGCGAGCCGGTCGCGCGCGTCCGCCGCGCGCGCGACCTCGAAGAGCTTGAGGCTCGAGCCGTCGCCGCGGAGCCGCGTGAGCGTCGTCTCTTCGGCGAGGTGGACGACGAGCTCGAGGACTCCCGTCTGGTGGCCCCGGAGCACGAGCGAGGCCTCGATGACGCCTCCGCACTCGACGACGACGTCCGCGGTGGAGATGTGTTTGAGGCTCGCCTTGGCCTTTTTGCGGCCCGGCGACAGAGTGTCGTTCTCGTCGAGCGGCGCCCACGCGCCGTCGCAGAACTCGTAAATGCAGACGAGGATTGAGGTCATCACTCAAGTGAATCTGCGAAATGGCGGCGGGGGCGTCGCAGGGGGGCGGGCTTATAATCCCCGCCGTTCACGGTCGTCTCCGCCGTTCACGGTCGTCTCCGGCGTCCTCCGAAGGCGTTCCGGCGTCCCCCCGGCGTCGAAACGACGGCGCCACGGGCGCCCGACGACAGCGGACAGGCGACTGGGTACTGGGTGCGCAAAACCGTGTTTTGCAATGGGTGCAACAATGGCGGCGCACAGCGCGCACCGCCGCGCCGCAGCGCTCATGCCTCTGCTCGCTCTCCTAGCGGTCGCCGGCGCGCGGCCGATCCCGCTCGCCGCGCGCACGCGCCGCATCTCGCGCGACAACAGCGGCGCGACGGCCGCAGGCCTCCAGACCCCAGTCGACCTCGCCGGCGCAGCCCTGCTGCCCAGTACCGCCGCCCTCCTTCGGCCGCTCGCAGTCCGCGGCGGGTCCGACGGCATGTGGCACCTCAACGACGACGCGCCGCCCGGCGACCGCGGCGCGGCCGACGCGGCCGACGACGACGCCGGCGCTCCGGATTGGACCGAGCTCATGGCGCACGCGCGGTGCGCGAGCCTCGTCTACTACGAGGCGTCGACGATCGTCGCATCGCACGAGCGGAACCGCTACGGGCGCGCCGCGCGGAGCGTCGAGTGGCGCGCGGACGGGAGCGCCGTCGCGCGATGGATCGGCACGAAGCGCGGCGACGCGACGCTGGTCGTCCGCGAGATCCCGAGCGTGGGCATGCGCTACTTCCTGCGCACGGAGCTGCGGCCGGGCCTGCCGCCCGTGCAGCACCTCGCCATCAAGGGCAGCGACAACCTGCAGAACTTCAAGGACGACGTCGACTACGCCAAGGAGCTCTGCGGCACGTGCCGCGTGCGCTTCCACCGGGGCTTCAAGCGCGTCGCGGATGCGGTCTGGGCCGACGCCGAGCCCTACCTCTTACGCAACGCGACCCTCGAACTGTCGGGCCACTCGCTGGGCGGCGGCGCGGCGACGATCGCGGCGATGCGCCTCGCGGCGTCCGGCTTCGTCGTCAAGCGCGTCGTGTCCTTCGGGTCGCCGAAGGTGACGAACGCCCACGGCTGCGCGGCCTACGCGGCGCGCGTGCCCCTGACGCGCGTGCTCACGGCCGACGACCCCGTGCCGCTCCTGCCGACGATGGACGTCAAGAGCCACGCGTTCGGCTTCTACCGGCACTTCGGCGACCGCCTCGTGCTCCTCGACGACGACGACCGCGACGGCGACGGCCTGCCCGACGACGAGGCGCACGGCGACGACGAGGCGGACGCCGCGCGGCGGCGCTGGCTCGGGGAGCGGGCCGCGGTCTTGCTGTCGCCGACGGACGCGACGGGCGAGCCCCGGACCAAGGTCGCGCGGCTCGGCCGCGGGCGCTACGCGGCGCGCGAGGACCCGCGCCTCGCCGCGGCGCGGGCGGCGAAACACCTCGACCCGTCGCCCTGGGCGCGGCTCCGGGATTTGGCGTTGCACCAGCTCGACGAGAACTTCCTGCTCCACGCGCACCACGTGTCGCCCTTCGCGCACTCCATGGACGCCTACGAGACGGAGGTCGCGACGCGCCGCGTGCGGTCCGAGTCGCTGCCCTGGCGGGCGGCGGGGCGCCGCGAGCGGCCGTTGAAGGCGCTCAAGAAGCGCGCGCCGTTCCTCGCCGTCGCGACCGTCGCGTTCCACCGCATGTTCAAGTGGCGCCGGGCCATCCGGCTCGTGCGCCCCAAGTACCTCGTCATGTCCTTTCTCTTCGTCGGCTGGACCGGCGGCTGGTCCGCGGGGCTGTTGGACAAGCTCCCCCACGCGGGCGTCGTCGAGAAGCACCCACTCGACGCGGGCGACGACGCCGCGCCGTCCTAAGTCCTCTTAGAACCCGCCCGGGGGGCAGTAGAAGGCGACGACGTGGCCCGCGGCGTCGAGGGGGACGGTGCTCTTGGCGCTGAGCTTGGCGACGAGGCCCGCGAGCACGCGGCGGTGCGCGGCGGCGTATTCCGGCCAGCCGCCCGCGGCGCGGACGGCGTCCAGCACTTGGAAGGCGGAATCGTTGGCGGAGCTTCGGCGGGGCAGGTCTGCGATGGCGGGCGCTCGCGCGCCGGCGCGGAGAAAGATCTTGACCAGGTCGCGGCGCCCGTAGTCAATCGCGGTATACAGCGGGGCGCAATGACCCGGGCCGCCACCGTCGACGCGCGCGCCGTGCGAAAGGAGAAGCTTCGCGCAGATTCTACAACCCTCTAGATTCGTGACAACATGGGTGACAACATGGTTTGCCGCGCTCAGCATCGTCAAGGCACTCTGCTCCAAAAAAAACGCATTCGCGTCCGCGCCGGCCGCGAGCAAAAGGCCCAGGATCTCGTGGTCTCCACGCACTGCAGCAGCGTGGAGCGGGGACCAGCCATTCCGCTCTGGCGCGTTGGCGTCGGCTCCATGTTCGAGCAACCACTGCACAGCCGCTGCCTGGCCATTCATCAACGCACTTTTAAGAGGAATTCCTTGATTGACATCCGCTCCCTCCGCCACCAACGCTCGCATCTGGCCGATATCTCCTCGATAGGCGGCAGAACGCAATGCATCAGCAAGCGGCTCAGCCATGGCAGCGCGGTGCAAGGGCCAGCGGCAAGCGCGGCGCAGAGCGGACGCGGGTCGAGCGGGTCGAGCGCGCTAACATTACCGTTCAAGGTGAAGTGTTGACGCTAGCGTCGAGCGCGATGATGCGAGCTCTTTTGTGCTGCATGCTCGCGCGCATGGCCGCGGAGGTGCAGCTTCCGCACGACGGCGCGCCGCCAGGCATGCCGCACCTCGAGCTCCGCGTCGACAGCGAGGTCGCGCTCGCCGCGCGGCGCGAGTGGCCCAGCGTCACCGCCAACGAGCGCGCGACGGGCGACGAGGTGCTGCGCTGGGTCGAGCGGAGCGCCTACGCAAACCTCTGCAGCGACGACGAATTCGCGGCCGCCTGGGAGCACGCGGACGATGGCGCCGGGTCGCTCGACCGCGCGGGCTACGAGGCCTTCGTCGAGGCCGTCGACGGCTTCGCGAAGCGCCGCGTCGCGCGCGAGCCGCCGTCGCTGGGCAACCTCGTCAAGGGCATGCTCAAGTCGCCGTCGATGCGCAAGATGGTGACGAAGATGGCCGTCGGCGTCGCGGAGCACGGCGGCCTGCTCGGGCCGGGCGAGGAGCGGCTCCGCATCGACGGCGGCGGCGGCGCGAGCGCCGCCGCCGAGGAGATGGAGCGAGAGATGGACGAGCTCATGCAGAGCGCCGAGTTCGGCGACCTCATGGACAGGGTCGTCGAGTCGCCGGGCATGAAGCGCGTCTTCGAGGACGTGCAGACCACGGGCGAGATGCCGTCGACGGGCGAGCTCCTGGGCACGGTGGCGGACACGGTCTGCGAGACGCTCGGCCTCGAGGGCGACGAGTGCGCGGCGCTGCGCCGCGACGCCGCGGACCGCCTCGAGGGGCTCGGCTGGTTGCTGGGCGAGGGCGGCGGCCCGCCGGGACCCTTCGGCGCCCTCGTCGCGGCGGCCGTCGTGCGGCTCGGGCTCCGCCGCGCCGCCGCGCTGCTCGTCGTCGTCGCGTGCGCGGCCCTCTTCGCCGCCTTCGCCCTCGTGCGCGCGTGTTTGCCGACTCGGAGGAGAACTAAGGCGGACTAGTTTACGGCGCGCTGGGCCGCGGCGGCGCGGGGACGAGCGCGAGCGCGCCGGACGCGTCGTCGGCGACGGCGAGCGACTCGCCGCCGGGGAGCGGCGCGACGGCCGTGACGTCGCCGGCGCATTTGACGCTCGCGAAGGCGGCGCCGCGGGCCGCGTCGTAGAAGGCGAGGCGCTGGGACCCCTCGCCGCCGACGGCGAAGGCGCCGCCGCCGACCCAGCGCGGGTGGAAGATGCCCTTGCGCCGCGCGTCGGGCCGGTGGTGGCCCGCGAAGGTCCGGAGGGGCGCACCGGGCGCCCGCAGGTCCCAGAGCTTGACCGCCGCGTCGCGGCCCGCCGTGAGGACGTGGTGGTCGTCGCCCGGGCGGAACGCGGCGGACGTCGCCTCGGCGTGCGCTCCCGCGAGGCGCCACGCGGCGGCGGCCGCCGCGCGCGGGTCCCAGCCCGCGACGTCGCCGTCGTCGCTCGCCGTCGCGAAGGTGCCGTCGCCGCGCCAGGCGACGCCCTTGACGGCGCCGTCGGCGACGTCGATCCGCACCGTCTCCGTCAGCGCGGCCGGCGCGCACGCGACGACGCCGACGGTGCCGTCGCGGAAGCCGCAGAGCGCGCCGCGGTCGTCCGAGACGGCGAGGGACCAGCAGCGGCCCGGCGCGAGCGTCGCCGCGTCGCGGAGCCGGTCGCCGCGCGCCGCCGCGCAGTCCCAGAGCACGAGCTTGCCGTCGTTCGCGGCCGTGAGCAGGCGGTCGCCGCCGACGAAGCCGCAGCCGCCGACCCAGCCGCCGTGGCCCTTGAAGGCCGCGAGCGGCTCGCCCCCGGCCGACGGGCAGAAGACGGCGACGCGGCCGCCCTTGCCGACGGCGGCGACGAGCGCGCCGCGCGCGGCGACGCAGTAGACGCGCTTCAGCCCCGGGTCCTCGAGTTCGCGCGCGTCGCCGGGCGACACGTCCGCGGCGCCCGCGGGCACGAGGTACTCGGCGAGCCGCGACGCCTCCGCGGGGGCCTCCTCGGCCTCGGCCTCGTCCGCGGCGGCGGCGGACGAAGGCGCCGCCGCCGCGCCGGGCGCGGCGCCGCCGGCGAGCCGCGGCGAGCTCCGCCGCGGCCCCGCGGGCGCGGAGGGCTTGGGCTTCCGGCGGCCGGCCTTCTTCTTCGTCGACGTCGCGGCGCCGAGGCCCGACGGCGCCGCGAACGCGTCCCGGGCGTCGCCGAGCCCGAGCGACGCCATGAACTGCGCGTTCCGCGCGATGCGCTCGAGGCGCTCGATCTCGTACTGCGACAGGCCCGCGTGCTGCGGGTTCGCCGGCGGCGTTGAGGTTGGCGCCTCGGTCTCCTCCGCTTCGGCCGGCGCCGGCGGCTCTTCCGCTTCGGCCGGCGCTGGCGGCTCTTTCGCTTCGGCTGGCGGCGCGGCCGGCGCCTCCTCTTCGGCCGGCGGCACCTCCGCCTCGGTCTCGTCCGGCGCCTCCGGCGTCGCGTCCGGCTCTTCCTGCGCGCTCGCGGTCGCCTCCGTCATGGTAGCATCCTCGTTTCTTGCACGACCGCCTCCGGCGCGCTCGCGGCAGCCTCCTCCGCAGCGGCAGGTTTCGCGCGCTTCGGAGCGCTATTCTCCTTGTCCGTCGACCGCTTCTTCTTGCCGAAGAAGGAGAGGAGGGTCTGTTGCTTCATTGCGGGGTAGTGTTGTTGATTGTGTGATTGCGTGTGGTTGTATGGCTATGCTAATCGTTTGAAAACTCGAGCCATCGGCTGGGGTCTGGTCAGAGGGTTGGTCTTTCTGTGCAACCTGCAGTGCACGACCGCCACTCCGTGCCTAGTTGGTTGCCAGAACACAACAAGCTTACTCACAACAGTATGAATTCGCTCCGGCTCGCGATCGGCGCCCTGCAGCCGGGGCACGCCTCGAGATTCGCGGCGCAGGCGGGACAGAGGCACGCGTGCGTGCACGGGAGGAGGACGACGGAACGCGGCGCGCCGAAGCAGACGACGCAGCTCGTCGCGTCCGCGAGCGTCGCCTTGAGCTCCGCGGCCTCGTCCCGGAGATCGGAGAGCGCCGCGCCCGCCTCGGCGCGCGCCAGGACGCCGTGGGCGTTGGGGCGGTTCAACACGCGCGAGAACTCGCCGATCCGCGCCTGGAGCTCGTCCCGGCTGAGCCGAAGGCGGTCGTCGCGCGCGGTCCGCTCCTCGAGCGCGCGCTCGAGGTCGACGATGCGCTGCTCGAGCGCGAGGGTCTTATGGGCGGCGATCTCCGCCGTGGCCCTCGCCGCCGCGACGGCGGCTTTGATGTTGACGTTATTCGCCGTGAGGTTCACCAGTGCCTGCGTAGCCACCCGCTTGGACCTGGCGCTGCCGTCCCGTTCGAGCGCGACGAGCGGAGCGACGCCTCCGGCCAGGGTGATGGCGACTCGCGGCGGCGTGTTTAATGCGAGATTCGCCAGCGTGGCCGCGGCGTCGTGTTTGATATCATCGGATTCGTCGCTCAGACAGGCGATCAGAGGCGGTATGGCGCCGGCTTTGGCGATACAGATCCTGTGTTCGCGAACCATAACGGAGATATTCCGTAGCACGACAGCAGCATGCACCTTGGCTTGGGCGCTACCGGCGCTCAGAACGGCGACCAGCGGAGGGATACAGCCCGCTTTGACGATTTCGTCCCGATGTTTTTCGATCATGTTTCGTAAAGCCCCCGCTGCCGCCTCGGCGCCGTTGCCGCTACCGTCCTCTATCATCGCAACAATCGGCGCGAGCGCGCCGAGCGCCACAATGGAGTCATTCGCGTTGTCGTTGTCGAAAAGTATGTTCCGAATCGCTTTGCAGGCGTTGATCTTGGTTTCGGCGTTACCGTCGCGTAGAAGGGCGACGAGAGTTGGAAGCGCACCGGCCTCGACGCAAGCAGCGCTGACCTCTTCTGTCATGGTCATGGCGCACAAGGCCCCCGCCGCGTGTTGCCGCGTGACGTCGTTGTCGTCGCGTAGCAGTGCAACAAATGACGGAATCGCACCGGCCTCGACCAGTGCAATTCGGGTTGCGTCACAGTTGGCTTTATCCTTCGACCGGAGGAGGCGCATCGTCTTCACGGCCGCCAGGTCGGTCTCGGCGTCTTGGAGGTGGCCAAGGACCTCAGTAAGGACCACCGAGTCAACCATATCACCGACTCGACGCGTGCGCGGCGCTGCAGGACCCCGATCGACCGCCGCTCGGCGCGCAGCAGGCCGCGGCGCTGCAGGACCCCGATCGACCGCCGCTCGGCGCGCAGCAGGCCGCGGCGCTGCAGGACCCCGATCGACCGCCGCTCGGCGCGCAGCAGGCCACTTATAGCAGCCCCGCCATTGCCGAGTTCGCATACATGTAAACAGCCGTAAGGCCGACGTTGACGAACCTCGAGGTCGAGAGTCGTTGCTTTGCGCGGACATCGCCTCCAACGTCGTCGCCCGCGCTGCCCTAGCGCACTCGATTCCGACGCCCTGACACCGTCGAACAACCCCTGATATGGACTCTCTTCTCCTCGAGATCCGGGAAGTGCTCGCGGAAGCGTCGCCGGCGCGCAAGGAGCTCCAGCGCGTCTGCAAGCTGCTGCAGGCCGAGGGCGAGGCCGTGAAATGTAACGCGAAGAGCGTCGTCTTGGTCGAGGCGCTCCAAACGTTTCTCCAGAAGCACGCCGCGCCGGAACCCGTCGCGGCGCCGGAACCCGTCGCGGCGCCGGAACCCGTCGCGGCGCCGGAACCCGTCGCGCCGCCGCCGCCGGTCGCCGCGCCGGTCTTCGCCGCGCCGCCGCCGGCCGTCGTCGCGCCGCCGCAGCCGGTCTTCGTCGCGCCGCCGGTCGTCGTCGCGCCGCCGCTGCCGATCTTCGTCGCGCCGCCGGTCGCGCCGCCGCCCGTCGCCGCGCCGCCGCCGCTGTCGTCGTTCTCCTTCGCGCCTGCGCCACTCGCGCCGCCGCTGGCGCCGCCCGCGCGCCGGCGGTCCATCTCGGCCGAGGACATGGACGCGACGACGGCCAAGGTCGCCGAGGCCGTCGCCGTGGCCAAGACGACGCGGCGGCTGTCGCTCGAGCGCCGCGAGTCGCTCGACGCGCGGCGCGCGGCGACGGCGGCCGCGCGGGGCCTCGCGTCGGCGAAGAAGGCGGCGGCGCACAACAAGGCCCGGTCGACGGCGGCCATGGCGGGCCACGCGACGACGCAGTCCGCGAAGCACCGCGCGGGCGCGGGCTCCGTGCAGCGGCCGACGGCGCCGGGCGCCGCCAAGCCCGAGGCACCCGCGGCCCCCGCGGCCGTGGCCCCCGCGCCGGTCCCGGCGCCCGCCGCGGCGAAGCGCGGGCCCACGCGCTTCGCGCCCTTCAACCTCTCGTCTTCGAACCGGACGAACCGCGAGGAGCCCGCCGAGGCGGCGCCCAAGCCCGCCTGGGACTCGTCCGTGGGCCCCACGGACCCGGGCAAGCGCTACAACTGCAAGCTCGACGCGCCCAAGAGCGCGGCCAAGTCCAAGGAGGCGCGCCGCGACGTCGCCAAGTCCGCGAGCAAGGCCGCGCGCGCGGAGGCCATGGCGAACCGCCGCGCCTAGGCGCCGCGCCCCGCAGTCCCCGCGCGATCTCCTATAGACCCGCGAGGCAACGCTCCCAGGGGCGAAGAGACCTCCGGGCTCCGGGAGAACGCGGCCCCGGAACCCGCGGGTCGTCGCGGCGCGTCCGTTCGAACGGATCTCTTGAATGTTCAATTACTACGGACGGTCGGGAAAGTGACAGCAGCGTCCCCGAAGAGCACGGGTCCGATTGCTGCCAGCGCCCCGGGAGGAGCGCGCGCCGGTCCGCCTCTCGGCGGCGGCTCCGCCGAAGGGAGCCGCCGCGGCATGATGGGGCGGCGTCGCGCGGATTTTTCGGGACGGGGAGGGGCTAGATGATCTCACATCCGCCGCCGCTCTTTGGCGGTTTCATAAACGGATTTTCCGGTCCCGCGTAGCCCGTCATGAACGGATCGTTCGCGTATTCCTTCTTCACGAGCTCCGAGATGCTGCGGCGGGGGGCGCGCGTCTGCATCGGCGTTTCGCGCGTCGCGCGGGCGGGCGGCGCGGCGCGCGGGGCGGGGCGCCGAAGCGACGGGGTGCGGCGCGTCGCGGCGGATCTGGGGCTGCTCGCGACCCTCGCGGCTGGACGCACCTGTCCGCCGCCTGCGCCGCCGTCTGCGGCACCTTCGACAGCGACTCGAGCTCGAACTGCCACGCCTCCTTGCGCGCGACGTTCACGCCGAGCTCGGCCTGCAGCTTGAGGTGGTAGGCGTCCCCGGACATCGCGGCAGTCGGTTTTTATACGCAACGCAGCTTCTCCGAGCAGCCCGAGCCACCGCTTCCCAGATTGGATATTCAACCCCCACTTGCCCGGATACGCTGCATCGAGCGTTGCAGTTTTCCCAAGGTGCTTTAAACCGCCCCCTCCCTAGACGGAGAAGGAGATGGCGCCGTCGCTCTTCGCGGGCGGCGCGTCGTCGTCCTCGCTCGAGCTCCGCCCGCCGGCCTGGAGCTCGTGGATCTGGGCCGCGTTGCAGAGCCAGAGCAGGCCCAGCGTCCAGGCGACGAGGAACGTCGACGCGGAGGGCGCGCCGAAGCCGAGGCACGCCGCGACCTCCGCGAGCGCGACGGCGTCGAGCGCGACGTGGCTCAGCGCGACGTGGACCGGGTCGTCGACGTCGAAGGGGCTCGCGCGGGCCACCTGGAGCGACACGAGGCCCAGCGCGCCGGCGCAGGCGACCTGGCTCGCCGCGAGGGGCGCCGGCGCGTCGCCGCCGCCCGCGGCCGCCCGGCGCTCGTCGTCGTAGCGCCGCGCGGCGACGACGACGGCGCCGAGGTAGCCGAGCGCGACGCCCGCGCCGTGGAGCACCTGGTGCAGGGACCGCATCTTCGCCCGCGGCGTGCCGCTCATGATGGGGCTGAACGTGGACACGACCTCCTCGTCGACGTGCACGCGCGCCGCGAGCGTGAGGCATAGAGCGGCGAACGCGCCGCAGCACGACCCAAAGGTCCAGGGCGTCATGCGCGGCAGCGTCGCGAAGACCACGGAAACGCAGCCCGCGCAGGACAGCACGGCCAGCGTCTTCACGGGCACGCTCCGCGAGAAGGCGGACAGCGCCGGCACGCGCGCGAGCAGCGCCGCGAAGAGGAAGCGCCGCACTTTGTAGAGTAGCTTGATCGGGAGCATGTCTGCGGCGCGTGCGTGCGCGGCGGCGCGCGCGATCGAAAGGTGGTTTTCGGTGAAGGGCAGGCGCGAGGAGCGGTCGCCTAGACTGGCTGCGCACGCTCTCAAAGCTCCATGCCTGAGCACTGAGATCACTGAGCACCGTCCGTGAGCTTGCCACAGAGCACGGGGGGGTTGCGAGGCGCCGCCGCGCGGGTCTGACGTCGACCCACGCCTCGACCCCGCGAGCTTCGCCGGCGTCGCTCGCCTCGAGGTCGACCTCGTGGGCAAGCTCCGGCGGCTGCCGCGCCACGTCGGCGTGGGCCCCGACGGCGTCGCCAACGAGCCGCTCCTCGCCGTGCTCGACCGCCGCGGCCACTGGTCCGGGAACTTGAAGATTTCCAGGACCATGTTCTTCAGGTCGTCGATCGTGGGCGCGCTCTCGCGGCTGTCCTTGTCCTTCTCGTAGATACGCCTCGGGGAACGCCTTCCAGGGGAGCATGCAGCTGAAAGCACCCTGCAGGTCGGACGTCGTAGAGGTCGACGACGCTCGCATCCTCGCGCTGGCGCCGCGGCCCTCGAGGAGCTCCTGTCGGACACCTCGATCCCCGAGCGCGACAAGTACCTGGAGCCTGGGGCGCCGCCCGTCTACAGCCTCGAGTCTGGGGATCGGGTCTACGGGCCTGAGATCCACCAGAGCAACGCGCGCGCACTTGCACTGGCACCCGCACTCCCGACTACTCCCGAAGCTCCACGGCGCGCTTAGCGGAGAGGGAAAAGGGGAGGCCGCCGCGCCTAGTGCGTCGTCCAGCTGGCCGTGTGGCTCGTGTCCATGTCCTCGCCGGCGTCCTCCTTGACGGGCTGCATGCGCGCGAAGCCGCGGGACATGACGGAGAGGAGGCCGTCGCCGTCCTCGTCGTCGTCGGCGGGGGCGTCGCGCATGTACTTGGCGGACGTCGACGTCTCGACGGCCTGGAGCTTGCTCTGCTGGTGCTGGAGGTCCGCGGCGAGCGCGGACGTCGGCGCCGGCGGCCGGGATTTCGCGGCGGCGGCCGGGAGCGGCGGCGGCGGCGGGCGCGGCGGCGCGCCGCCGGCGAGGTGGGCGGCGACGGCGCGGGCGACGGCGGCGGCGTCGACGGCGGCGCCGGCGGGGAGCGCCGCGGCGACGGCGGCCTCGAGCGCGGCCGCGTCGGGCGACGCCGCGCCCGGCGCGGCCGGCGGCGCGGAGACGGGGTTGAGGAAGGCGTGGGAGAGGAGGCCCCGCGCCGCGTCGACGATGGGCGGGCGGTGGGCCGGCTCGCGCGCGAGGCAGCCCGCGAGGCACGCGAGCGCGTCGGGCGTCGCGAGCGGCCCGCGCGGCGGGAAGTCGATGACGTGCGTCGGGTTCGTGATGGCCTGGAGCTTGGCGTACAAGTGCAGGTCGCCGAAGGGCGTCTTGCCGTAGACCATCTGGTAGAGGATGCAGCCCAACGACCAGACGTCGGACGCGCGGCCCACGCGCATCGTCGGCTTCCGCGCGGCGCCCGGCCCCGCGCCGCGGGGCCCCGCGCCGGAGTCGCGGATGGCCTCGGGCGACATGTAGTTGAGCGTGCCGATCTGCGTGTCGCGGTAGATGTTCGTCGTGTCGTTCTTGATCGCGCGCGCGATGCCGAAGTCGATGAGCTTGAGCCGGCCCTGGACGAAGAGGAAGTTCGCGGGCTTGAGGTCGCCGTGGACGATGCGCTCCTCGTGGATCGTGTGCACGGCCTCGAGCATCTGCTGCCACGTGAGGCGCACGAAGTTGCCGTCGTCGCCGCGCGCGCGCGCGTCGCCCGCGGCCGCCGCGCGCGCGGCCGCGTCGCGGCGCTGCGAGAGCACGGTCGCCAGGTCGGCGTCGCCGGCCTCCATGACCATGTGGATGGACCCGGCGGCGCGGTCCACGTCGGCGGCGTAGAGCGTGACGATGTTCTCCTTGCCCCGGAGCCGCTGGAGCAGCGCGACCTCGTTCGCGTAGCCCGCGAACGAGTGGTCGACCTCGGAGCCGCGGAGCTTGATGCGCTTCAGGGCGAGCACGCGGCCGTCGGCGCCGAGGACGCGGAAGACCTTGGACGAGCCGCCGCGGCCGACGAGCGCGAGCTTCGCGTAGCACTGGCCCTCGACCTTGAGCGTGTTCCGCTCGGACACGAGGTCGCCGAACGCGCCCGCGGCGCCGACCTCGAGCGTCGCCGTCGACTCGCCGGGCGTGCGCGCGGGGCCGCCGGACGTGGAGTGCGTGCTCGCCGTCGAGCGGCTCGGCAGGTCCTCCGCGTCGCTGTCCTCGTCGCTCGACTCGACGCCCGCGCGGCTCGAGCCCGTCGCGCCGCTCGACTGCGTGCCGGACTGGGAGCTCGCCGTGCTCGGCGCGGCGGCCTCCTCGATGGTCGGCGGCATCGGCTCCTTCGCCGCGGACTTGTCCGCGGCGGCGGCCGCGGCCGCGCGCTTGACCTCGGGCGTCTTCGCGAAGGACACGCGGCGCGGCGCGGCCTTGGACGCGCTGCGGCCGCCCTTGGACGGCTTCCACTTGAGCATGTAGTCGATGTCCTCGCGCTTCATGGGCGCCTTGCTGCTCTTGAGCGCGACGGCGACGTCGATCGTCTCGTCCGTCGCGCTCGCGCTCCGGCCCGGGCCCGGCGTGTCGACGACGACGGACACGGGCGGCGGCAGGACGACCGTGTCCTCGCCCACGTCCATGTCGTCGTCGGCCGGGGGCGCGGCGCCGTCGACGCGCACGGAGATGACGCCCGTCGCGTCGTCCTCGGGCCCGCGCGGCGGCGCGGCGCCCGCGAGCGCCGCGGCCTGGGCCGCGAGCTCCGCGTCGGAGCACGCCGCCAGCGCGACGACGGACTTGCGCTCCCGCGCCGGCAGCGCGCGGATCCCCGCCTGCAGCGCCTCCTTGGCCGCGGCCGCCTTGCCCGCGCCGGCCTCGCAGAGCGCCCACGTCTCGTAGAACGCGCGCGACCGCTTGCCGATGCCCTCGTTGCGCATGTACTGCAGCGCGTCGAGCGCGTCCTGGCGCTGGCCCAGGCCCGTCTGCGCCTTGACGAAGCCGAGCCAGATCGACACGTACGCCTCGGCCTCGTAGAGCTCGGGCCGGTTCTTCGGGATGGACTGCGTCGCCCGGCGGAAGAGCCGGCACCGCGCGTCGCGCTTCCCGGACTCGGCGACGTCGCTGAGCAGCTGCCACCAGGCGTTGGGGTCGTCGGGCCGCGCGACGACGCGGTCCGCGAGCGCGCGCCGTTCCGGATGCGCCGCGTCGTCGAGGAGGAAGAGCGTTTCGAGCGTCTCGCCCCAGCGCAGCACGCCGCGCGCGTTCCGCGTCGACGCGCGCGTCGCCCGCTTCGTCGCCGCGGGCTTCACGGCGCCCGGCGTCGCCGTCCGCACGTTCTCTTTATCGACTTCGGTCATCGCGTCTTCCGCCGCGTGAAACCGTACGCTGTTTAGCAGGTGCGTCGAGAGGGGCGTCGAGGGGCTGTTAGGCTGTCGCGGGGGGCGTTGTTGGGGTCTTGCGTGTGGGTGCTGCGCGTCCCGCGCGCGCCAAAGCCAAACGGCGACTTCGAGTTCAACGATCCTCGATGTTTCCCTCGGCCCGCGGCTGATGCTCTGCCGTGTCCGTCGTCTTGCGCCACTACCGCTGCACTAGACTGCTGCAGCAGCACCGCCAGCAACGCATCAGCACACACCACCGCAATGGCCGCCGCGCCCGCGCCGCGCGTGCTCTCCCTGCTGTCGGCGTCGACGGAGATCGTCTGCCGCCTGGGCATGGCGCACGCGCTCGTCGGGCGCTCGCACGGCTGCGACGCGCCGCCGGCGGTGCTCGCGCTGCCGGCCGTCACCTCCCCCAAGATGGACCCGACGGCGCCGTCGGAGGAGATCGACGCGGCCGTGCGCGCGGTCGTCGCCGGCGGCGGCCCCGTCTACGAGATCCGCAACCGCGTGGTCGCGGCGCTCGCGCCGGACGTCATCCTGACGCAGGACCAGTGCCGCATCTGCGCCGTGACGCGGGCCGACGTCGCGGGCGCGTGCGCGGACCTTCCCGCGTCGACGATCGTCACCATCGAGCCGACGACGCTCGGCGACGTGCTCGGCGACGTGGCGACCATCGCGGCGGCGCTCGGCGTGCCCGAGCGCGGCGCGCGGCTCGTCGCGTCGATGGAGCGGCGCCTGGACGCCGTGCGCGCGGCGACGGCCCCGTTTCCTCGCGCGACGGCCTGCCACCTTGAGTGGCTCGCGCCCGTCATGGGCAGCGGCTACTGGATCCACGAGCTCTTCGACGCCGCGAACTGCGCCATGGTCCACGGCGCCAAGGGCGGCCACTGCCCGACGCTCGCGGATGACGCCGCTCTGAACGACGCCGAAGTCCTCGTCCTCGCGCCCTGCGGCTTCTCCGTCGAGCGGACGCGCCACGAGCTCCGGTCCCTGGGCCTGCCGGAGCGCTGGAAAAACGTCCGCGCGGTCCGCGAGGGCCGGTGCTACGTCGCCGACGGCGACCGTTTTTATAATCGGTCGTCGTGCGAGGTCGTCGAGACCGCGGAGATGACGGCGGAGATGGCGTTCCCCGAGCTCCGCGGGCTCTGGGGCCACCACGGCAAGCACTTCGTGGCGCTCGACGAGCTCGACGCGTTCTGCGACCTGCCGCCGCGCGCGCCCGCGGGCATGCCCGCGGCGGGCGGCGGGATCACGCGCGCGCCCGCCGCGCCGCCGCCGGAGGACGCGGCCGCCGCGGCCGCGGCGCGCGCCGTCGCCGAGGCGCAGCTCGAGGCGCTGCGAGCCGAGGACTTCGACGCGGCCTTTGCGCTCTGCTCGCCGAAGAACCGGGAGCGCCTCTCGAGCCCCGCCAAGTTCCGGGAGATCTGCGGCGGCGCGTCCTTCGCCGCGCTCCTGACCGGCGGCGAGGTCTCGCGGACGGACGTCGTCTCCGCGTCGGCCGCGACCGTCGCCGTCGCCGCGGGCGACCGGCGCTTCCTCTTCGACCTCGCCTTCGAGGGCGGCGCCTGGCGCACGGACGGCGTCCGCGTCGTCTGCTAAAACGCTCGATCCCACGCCGCCCCGGGACTTTCGTAGACCTGCTCATCTTAGCGCGCTCGATCCCACGCCGCGCCAAAGTCGAAGTCGAGCTCCGCGGTGGGCCACCAGCGGTGGTGCTGCGGGAAGACGCCGCGCTTGCGGACGCTCCGGGGCACGGCGTTGAGCGTCTGGGCGGTCACGGGCCGGTTGAAGGCGACGAGCGCGACGACGTCGCCGGCCTCGAAGCGCCAGTCGTCGCAGGCCGTGAAGTTTTTTCGTCGGAGCTGCGCTCGGCCGTAGAAGCGGTCCGCGGACGCCGAGTAGGCGTTGCGCGACCGGTACCAGCAGCGGACGTGGCTCCTGTGGCGCGCGAGGAGCGAGGCCATGAGCGCCGACGTGTTCCAGCCCAGGGGCGCGAGCGGCACGTCGCGGCCCACGGTGCCGCTGTTGTTCGACGCCCAGCGCGCGTGGCGCCGGCCGATGGCGTTGCGCGACGAGCACGCGTCGCCGCAGGCATTTAGCACGTCCGCGGGCAGCACGGCGTCCGCGGGCGCGTCGAGCACCCAGAAGTCCGACGGCGCGACGCCGTGGCTGTGGAACCACGACGTCTCGAAGCGGCCGCCGACGGGCAGGACGTAGGAGAACCACGCGACGCTCTCGCCGGTGACGTCGTAGAGCGCACCGTCGCCGCCCACGGCGAAGTCGAGCTGGAAGAGGGGCGCGTAGGGCGTCCGCGGCCGCACCCAGGTCCGCCCGTACTCGTAGTAGAGCCGCACGGGCCCGCCGGGCGGCACGTGCTCGAGCACGGAGTTGGACCAGAAGTCGACGCCGGGGTAGCGCGGGAAGCCCGTGCGGGCCGGGAGCTTGACGTAGTAGCAGGCCGTCGCCTTGTCGTCGAGGTCGCCGCGGCAGCCGTAGAAGTCGCCGTTGAAGCCCGGCGTGTTCGTCGACGTCTGGATGTACTCGTCCTTGCCCGCGAGCGCGCGCTCCGGGAGGAAGGCGACGGGGTTGAAGCCGAAGAAGGGCGACCCGGGCGTCTCGTAGCCGAGGGCCTCGGGGAAGCCCACGAGGAACGTCGCGCTGTGGTGCGGGTGCACGGGCGGGTACGTCAGGGGCCGCCGCGCTCGTCGACGTAGCCGTCGACGGCCTCGACGAGGTACCAGGTGTCGTTGCCCGGCGGCGGCCCCGCGGGCACGAAGAAGTCGTTGATGATCTTCGACGGGCTCAGCGTGATGGGCCCGAGCCGCGTCACGTAGGTCTCGAAGGCGTCGCCCGACGCCGCGTCCTCGCGGCTCCAGGAGCAGACGGACGCGTTGAGCAGGTACTGGGACCACTGGTTGTACATGTTCTTCGACTTCCAGCGCGGCCCGGCGAAGGCGCCGCCGTAGCCGTTGGCGAGGTAGCGCCGCGTGTGGCGGAAGACGTCCTCGGGCGGCGACCACGCGCACGCGTCGCGCCGCGCCGCGTAGGCGCCGACGTAGGCGTCCGGCGCGCTGTAGCGGAAGCCCTGCACCTCCCAGCCCGCGGGCGGCACGAAGGCCGCGTCGCTCGCCGCCCACGTGTCCTTCGCGTCGCGCAGGGGCTGCCGCTCGTCGCCGCCGCTGCGGTACCCGGGCGCCCAGTTGCCGTGGGCCTTGCGGGGCGCCGCGACGTGGACGCGCTTCTTCGTCGACGACTTTTTCGCCGCGCCGCTGGCGGCGTGCAAGAGGAGCAGCGCGGCGAGCATCGCTCTATGGCAGGTGCGAGAGCGCCATCATCGCGGGCTGCATCGATGCGGCATCATCGTCGTGAGCCCAGGGCGTCGGAGCTCATGATCGAGAAGGGCTCGATGTCCCCGGGATCGAGGCAGTAGGAGCTGCTCGCGTAGGCGCCCGCGTCACCGCCGCCCTCCGGGCTCATCGCCTAGGCGCGGCGGGGGCGCCGGGCATGCGGCGCGGGGCCCGAGGGCTGCCCCCCATTGCATTGTCTGTGTAATTGGAGCAGGTGTGCAAGGGCCTTCCTTGACGATTGGCATCAAATTACACAAAATAAAGATATGACATTTCCTTTATACCGGCTAAGACATCAATATCTCCAATACACGATGGTGCCGGCCAGCGGCCTCGCCGCCGCCGCCGACGACGCGCGGTTGCAGTCACAAACGATGAAGGTGCTGCTCGGCGGCATCGGCGCCGCCGCCGACGACGCGCGGCTGCAGCGCTGGGGCCACAGCGCCGTGCGCGTCGGCGCGCGCGTCGCCGTCTTCGGCGGCTACGGCGGCGCGAAGCCGAAGCGCTGCGGCGACGTGCTGCTCGTCGACGCGAGCGGCGCCGTCGAGGAGGCGGCAATCGCGGCGGACGCGGCGGCGCCGGCGGCGCGCGAGCAGCACGCCGCGGCGGGCTGGCGGGACGGCTTCGTCGCCTTCGGCGGCCGCGCGGATCCCGCGAAGCCGTTCCGCGACGCGTGGACCTGCGCCGTCGCCGGCGACGCGTGCGCCTGGACGGCCGTCGACGCGGCGGGCGACGCGCCGCCGGCGCGCTGGGCGCACGCGCTGCTGCCGCTGCCCGGCGGCGACGCGTTCCTCGTGATCGGCGGCCGCGACGCCGTCGGCGCGCTCGAGGGCGACGCGTGGTCGCTCGCGCTCGACGGCGCGGGCACGGGGACGTGGGCGCCCGTCGCCTGCGAGAACGGGCCCGTCCACGCGCCGGCCTGCTGCGGCGCGACGCGCGACGGCGCGATTTTAGTGTTCGGCGGCGGCGGCGGCGTCGCCGCGCGGACGCTGGAGGGCGGCGCGTGGCGCGCGGTCGCGTGCGACGACGCGGCGGCGGAGCAGTTGGAGAGAGACGGCGGCGCCGTCTGCGCGACGGGCGCCGACGGCGAGCTGCTTCTGGTCGGCGGCGCGCCCCGCGCGCACGCCGAGCCCTGCCGCGCGCCGGGCCCGCCGCCGGCACCGCGGCCCGAGCTCGCGGACGCGGCCGTGTTGCGCTTCGACGGCGAGACGGTCGCGCTCGCGGCCGCGGCGACCGTCGACGGCGACGGGCGCTATCCGGTCGACGCCGCGGCGGCGGAGCTCGGCGACGGCGTGTTGGTGCTCGGCGGCGGCGTGCCCTACCTCTTCGGCCCCGTCTTCGGCGCGAGCTTCGCCGTGCGCTTCGATCGCGCGGCGGTCGCGGCGGGCGCGGACGCGGTTTCGGACGCGGCGGCGGACGCGGCCGCGGCGACGGACGCGAACGAGCCGTCGGACGAGGCGACGGTCGACCCGCCGGAAAGCCCGCCGGAGCCGCCGCCAGCATCGGCCGCGGAGAAGTCCACGGAGCCCGCGCCGCCGACGCCTCCCCCGGGGTAACGTTGTAGCACACATTGCCTCCTTGAAGCGCCTCCCGAGCCCGAGGAGCTTGCGCTTCCGCCCACAGCGTCGTCGCAGGGCGTCGCGGGAGGGGGGTGAGAACCGGCCGCTCGCCAGGATGCGGGCCTGGCTGCGCGTGACGCACGACGAGGGCCCCTGCCAGCGGAGCCTCCACGTCGCGGCGATCTGGCGCGACAAGATGCTGTGCTTCGGGGGCTACGACGGGTCGAACCGCGTCAACGACTGCTGGGAGTTCGACTTCGGGAAGCGGTCCTGGTCCCTCGTCGTGCCCGCGTCCGGGTCCCCGCCGACGCCGCGGGACCGCCACGTCGCCGTCGTCTGGGGCTCGAGCTTCTACGTCTTCGCGGGCTTCGACGGCACGTCGCGCGTGAACGACTTCCACGAGTTCTCCTTCGGGAGCTCGAGCTGGGCGCCCGTGCGCGCCCTGAGCGGGCTGGCGCCGTCGCCGCGCCACTCCCACGCCGCCGTCGTCTACCACGACTCGCTCTACGTCTTCGGCGGCTACGACGGGAGCTACCGCTGCGACTTCCACGAGTTCAACTTCGTGACCTGCGCGTGGAGCCCCATCACGTCCGACGGCCGCGTGCCGCGGGCGCGCTACCGCGCGACGACGGTCGTCCACGAGCACGCCATGTACCTCTTCGGGGGCCACGACGGCACGCGGCACCTCAACGACGTCCACGTCTTCGACTTCGGCGCGCGCGCATGGAGCGGGCTCCAGGCCGAGGGGCCGGCGCCCATCCCCCGCGACTCCCACGTCGCCGTGACCCACGGCCACTCCATGTTCGTCTTCGGCGGGTCCACGGGCTCCGCGATGAACGACTTCCACGAGCTCCGCCTCGACGCGCGCAAGTGGCAGCCCGTGCAGGCGTCCGGCTACGCGCCGGGCCACCGCTTCTGCCACGTCGCCGTCGTCCACAAGGACTCGCTCTACGTCTTCGGGGGCTACGACGGCTCGAACCGCCTCAACGACTTCCTCGAGTTCAAGTTCGGCTTCGGCGGCACGGACATCCCCGCGTCGTCGCTCATCACGGACCTGCGGCAGCTCGTGGACTCGGAGACGCTGAGCGACGTGACCTTCCTCGTCGACGGCCTGCCCGTGCGCGCCCACAAGGTGTTGTGCATGCGCTGCTCCTACTTCCGCGCGCTCTTGACGGGCGAGATGCTCGAGAGCCGCGCGTCCGAGATCGCGATCAACGACGTGCGCCACCCCATCTTCCTCGCGTTGCTGGAGTACCTCTACACGGACAACGTCGACATCGCGCTGGACATCGCCATGGAGCTCTTCCAGGCCGCGGACCAGTTCGGCGTCGAGCGGCTCAAGCGCATGTGCGAGTCGAAGATGCTCGCGTCCATCCACGTCGAGAACGCGGCGACCATCTTCCACGCCGCGGACCAGCACGCGGCCAAGAGCCTCCGCGAGAAGTGCCTCAACTTCATCCTCACGAACTTCGACGCGGTCACGCGCACCGCGTCCTTCGAGGAGATGGGCCGCGTCAACGTCGAGCTCGTCTTCGAGATCCTCAAGTCCCGCTCCAACTAGGTGCGCGTTACCCGCCCCTTTCTTGTCTTGCTCCTGGGGGTCTTGGCCGGTCGCGCGCCAGCTTGTAACTTCAACATCTCACGTTGCTCTAACGAAGCCGAGTGTGCCGCGTCTTCGTTGCAATGGGCAGCGCAATGGTCAGGGCAGCCTAAACGCCGCGATGGGGGTCGACGAGATGACGGAGGAGCTGCGGCGGAAGCACATCGAGACCCTGGAGGTCCTGCAGGAGTTCCAGGACGAGAACGACGCGCTCAAGTCGAAGCTCGCCGGCTCGGCGGCCTCCGAGGTCGAGGCGCTGCGCGCGTCGCTCGCGTCGGCGACGTCCGGCCGCGAGGCCGCCGAGGCCAAGGCCGAGGCCGCCGCCGCGTCGGCCAAGGAGGCGGCGAAGAAGCAGCGGTCCGCGGAGAACGGCCTGCGGACCGAGCGGTCGCTTCGCGCGGCCGAGACCGCCGAGGCCGAGGCCGCGGCCGCCGCGAGCGCGGACGCGATCCGGCGCCTCGAGCACGAGCGCGACGACGCCGTGCACGCCGCCGCGGCCCGCGCCGACGCCGACGCCAAGCAGGTCGCGGCGCTCGAGGCGAACGCGGCCGAGTCGGCGCGCGAGCTCGAGAAGGCGCGCGTCGTCGCCGCGGCCTACAAGGCCGCCAACGAGCAGGACTCGGGCCGCGCGGATGCGCTGGACCAGGAGAAGGCCGCCCTCGCCGAGAAGCTGCGGCGCATGACGACGCACCAGTACGAGCTCGGCGAGCGCGCGCGCGAGCACGAGGCCGCGGCGGCCGCGGCGCGCGCGGAGCTCCTCGCGGCGTCGCGGAAAGTCGTCGCGCCGGCGCCGCCGCCGGCGCCGGCGACGGCCTCCGTCGCGACGCAGACCGACGGCGACGACCCCGCGGCCGTCGCCGCGGCGCGCGACGCGCTGGCGGAGAAGGTCGACGCTTTGGAGCGGCGCCTCGCGGAGTCGCACCGCGGCATCACGGTCAAGCCGTCGCCGCCGGCGGCCGACGCGCCCTTCGGGGACTACGTCGGCATCAAGCGCGAGAACGCCAAGCTCCGCATGGAGCTCGCGGAGCTCCGCCAGGCCCACGTCGCGCTCGCGGAGGCGGCGCCGGAGCGGCGCGCCGCGCCGGCCAAGGGCGCGCGCGTCTCCGCCGCGCGCGCGCCCGCGCTCCCGGGCATCGCCGCGAAGCGGCCCTCGGGGCTCCGGCAGTAGGTGTTGTCTTTTTTTGGGGGGGTGGCGGCCCCGACTCGGAGCGGCCCGGAAATGCGGACCGTCTCTGCACGACGACGTCGTCCGGGAGAAGAGCGCGCGCCCGGGCCGGGCGCTCTAGCCGGGCGCCCATCGCCACGGAAGAGACTAGGAAGTCGAGTTAGGCGGGGCCGCGCGACGGCCGCGACCCCGACCGGAGGAGGGACCGCGCGCTCAGACGAGGATGCACGCGCCGCCGCACGCCTTGATCTTCCTCTCGGCCATCTTGGTGAACATCTTGGCCTTGACGACGACGGGCTGCTTCGGGAGCCGGCCCTTGCCGCAGACCTTGGCGAAGCCGCTCTTCGTCACGTCGATGACGGGCGCCTTGCCCTCCGGGACGGACTCGAGCGTGCCCACGGGGAGGGACGGCCAGAGCATGTCGAGGTTGATGATGGGGCAGTGGGCGCGGTTCTTGAGCACGTGGAAGTGGCGCATGCCGACCTTACCGAAGTAACCCGGGTGGAACTTGTCGAACAGGGTGCGCATGTGGTGCTGGCCGCCGGCGTTACCGCGGCCGCCGGGGTGCTTGCGGTGCTTGCCGACGCGGCCGTGGCCGGCGGACACGTGTCCGCGCTTCTTGCGGTTCTTCGAGAGGCGCGTGAGAGGCTGCGGGGGCGAGCGGGCGTCGAGCGGGGCGTTCGAAGCGCGCGAGGGAGAAAGGGCGTCGAGGGGCGATTTGCCGAGGCGCGCTCTCGTCGGTGGGCGAGCGGCAGGGACTCCGGCGGCGTCTGGGGCGCGGCGGCGGCGGCGCGGGCGGGTGTCGGGCCAGCCCGCGCGCGCCCGCGCGCTCGTCGTTGCCACAGAGCGTCGCCGAAGCCGCCCCACCGCGTTTTTTTTCGCACTCTCTCGTCGCAGCGCGTCGGCGGGCGTCACGACGTCATCGACTGCCGGAGAGCAGCCCAAACACGCGCGTGGTGGGTAATTGGACGCCGCTCGTCGCCATCTTTGCGCGTCTCAAGCACTCGCGAGCGTCGCCGACTGGGTGCCGCCGGGGGTCGATTAGCTCGAGTAGGCCTTCGAGTGATCAGAGCGGCGCGGCCTGCTTTAAGCACACCATCGGATCTCCGCCGGCTACGACCGTCTCAGGCAAGCCCCTGCTAGACCCTCGATATCGGGGCCATGCCCTCGGAGAGCCGCAGCTGAGGCACGGGCGTCGTCCATCCGCGCCGCGCCTACGGACCGTGTGACAAATCCGGCACCACCGACCTCGCCACCAGCGACGGCGCTGGACACGCCACTTGGTCGCATTGTCGACGATGTTCCGGGGGCTCGAACGCGCCCGGGCTGGTGATTTCCGAGTACTGCATCGCCGCGCGAGTGCGGTCGGCCGGCGGCGCGGCACTTGGCCGGGGATCGCCCTCGACGAGGCCGACTCGAGGTGCCGCCGAGACCGCGACGCCGCGAGCAGCACCTGACATCGCGCGCGACGCGCGTCGGCCGCCGCCCAAACGACCACGGCGCGTTGAAAAGAAGCGCGAATCACCCGCCTGAGCGGCCGGCCGCGAAAACCACCCGCTTCGAGCGGGCGGCGCGCGCCACGCCACCATGGAGGGCAAGACGCACGTGATCAAGAAGGTCCAGTTCGGCATCCTCGGGCCGGATGAGATCGCACGCGCCCGCGTCCGCACGCCGAGAGAGCACGCAAAACGCTTCGCGCGCGTCCGCGACCCCGCCGCCCCCGCGCGCAGCGCAACATGTCGGTGACGCAAAAGACGAACGCGCGCGAGCGCGCCGTCGAGGCGGGCGTGACCAAGTACGAGACCTACATCGACGGCCAGGCCGTCTACGGCGGCATCAACGACCCGCGCATGGGCAACCTCGACGACAAGGACGACCCGGGCCACTTCGGCCACATCGAGGTATCCGAGCCGCGTCTGTTAGAGAGAAACCGCGCGCTCACACCCTTTTTTCGCAGCTCGCGCGGCCCTGCTACCACCTGGGCTACATCAAGGAGGTGCTCATGTGCCTGCGCTGCGTGTGCTTCCACTGCAGCCGCCTGATGGCGGACCCGAGCGACTACAAGGTCCAGGGCGCGCAAAAGTACAAGGCGCAGAAGCGCCTCGAGGCCATGCACGGCCTCTGCCGGTCCAAGAAGCGCTGCGAGTTCGCGACGGGCGCCGAGCTCCAGCAGGCCATCATGGACGGCGAGCAGGAGGGCGCCGTCTACGGCTGCGGCGCGCTCCAGCCGACGTTCCGCCGGCGGACCGCGCAGTCCATCGAGGTCGAGTTCCAGCCCGACGAGGAGACGATCCCGGGCACGGGCGACCGGAAGCAGATCCTCAGCGCCCACCGGGCCTACGAGGTGCTGCGCAACATCTCCGACAAGGACGCGAAGATGCTCGGCCTCGACCCGAAATTCGCGCGGCCCGAGTGGCTCCTCATCACGGTGCTCCCCGTGGCGCCGCCCCACGTGCGGCCGTCCATCCAGCTCAGCGACTCGAACGCGCGGTCCGAGGACGACCTCACGCACCAGCTCGTGAACATCGTCAAGGCGAACAAGACGCTCGAGTCGCTCTGCCGCGCGGGCGAGGCGAACCACGTCGTCTCCCAGTTCGAGGAGCTGCTCCAGTACAAGGTCAACGCCCTCTTCGACAACGAGGCCAACGCCAAGGACGGCGTCCAGGAGCGGCAGCGCGGCGGCAAGCCCCTGAAGACGATCCGCCAGCGGCTCAAGGGCAAGGAGGGCCGCATCCGCGGCAACCTCATGGGCAAGCGCGTCGACTTTAGCGCGCGCACGGTCATCACGGCGGACCCGAACCTGAGCATCGACCAGGTCGGCGTGCCGCGGTCCATCGCGAAGACGCTCACGGTGCCGGAGCGCGTCGCGCCGTACAACGTGCACGCGCTCATGGAGCTGGTGCGCAACGGGCCCGAGGTCTGGCCGGGCGCGCGCTACGTCGTCCACGCCGACGGGCGCCGCGTGGATTTACGGTTCGTGAAGCACCTCAACGACCTCGCGCTCCACACGGGCTTCGTCGTCGAGCGCCACCTCCGCGACGACGACCTCATCGTCTTCAACCGCCAGCCGTCGCTCCACAAGATGTCCATCATGGCCCACCGCGTCAAGGTCCTGGACCACTCCACGTTCCGGCTGAACCTGTCGGTGACTGTGTGGAAATCAACCACTGGTTTGGGGGGTCCCCACCAAACTTCAGAACTCTCTATCTCGGTCAAATCGAAGTCGATTTGGCTGATTTTTGGACGAATCGATCGCTCTCGTCGAGGGCTCGAAGCACAGCGAAAGAGTCTGGTCCAAATCGTTCGATTAAGCTCACATTGAAGTCGGGTTGAAGATTTGATTTCCACACAGGTCGGTGACGTCGCCGTACAACGCGGACTTCGACGGCGATGAGATGAATTTGCACGTGCCCCAGAACGTCGCCGCCAAGGCCGAGCTCCAGCAGCTCATGATGGTGCCGCGCAACGTCGTGAGCCCCCAGTCGAACAAGCCCGTCATGGGCATCGTCCAGGACTCGCTCCTCGCGTCCGCGCGCATGACGTCGAAGGAGACGTTCATCGACCAGGACCTGCTCTTCAACATCGTCATGTGGGTCGGCGACGACTGGGACGGCGTCGTGCCCCAGCCGGCCATCCTGAAACCGAAGCCGTTGTGGACGGGCAAGCAGATCTTCTCGCTGATCCTGCCGAAGCTCAACTTCGCGGGCAAGGGCGCGCGGTTCCCCAAGAAGGGCGGCAACACGCTCAACTGGTCCGACGGCGAGGTGCTCATCCAGTCCGGGCGCCTCGTGACGGGCGTCATGGACAAGAAGTCGCTGGGCACGTCCGGCGGCTCGCTGATCCACGTCATCTGGCTCGAGATGGGCCACGTCGCCGCGATGCACTTCCTGAACCGCGTCCAGACGACGACGAACCAGTGGCTCGTCAACGTGAGCTTCTCCATCGGCATCGGCGACGCCGTCGCGGACCAGTCGACGATGCGGACCATCGAGAAGATCATCGACGAGGCGAAGCTCAAGGTCAAGGAGCTCGTCCAGAAGGGCCAGCGCGGCGCCCTCGAGTGCCAGCCCGGCCGCACCATGATCGAGTCCTTCGAGGCCATGGTCAACCGCGTGCTCAACGCCGCGCGGACGTCCGCGGGGCTCTCGGTCCAGGAGTCGATCTCCGAGGCGAACAACGTCAAGTCCATGGCCATGGCCGGCTCCAAGGGCAACGACATCAACATCAGCCAGATCATCGCCTGCGTCGGCCAGCAGAACGTCGAGGGCAAGCGCATCCCCTACGGCTTCCGGCGGCGCACGCTGCCGCACTTTGCGAAGGACGATCTGGGGCCCGAGAGCCGCGGCTTCGTCGAGAACTCGTACCTGCGGGGCCTGAGCCCCCAGGAGTTCTACTTCCACGCCATGGGCGGCCGCGAGGGTTTGATCGACACGGCCTGCAAGACGGCGCAGACGGGCTACCTCCAGCGGCGCCTCGTCAAGTCGATGGAGTCGATCATGGTCAAGTACGACGGCACGGTGCGCAACAACCAGGGCAACGTCGTCCAGTTCCTCTACGGCGAGGACGGCGGCGACGGCGTCTGGGTCGAGAAGCAGAAATTCGCGAGCCTGCTCCTCAACAACGACGAGCTCCGGGAGCACTACGGCGTGAACCTCGACTGGGACGACGACGGCGACTCGGTCACGGGCGGCGTCGCGCTGGCGCTCGACGTCGCCGACGCCTGCCGCCAGGACGTGGCCCTCGCCGCGTTGCTCGAGAACGAGCTCGAGCAGCTCCAGCGCGACCGCGACGCGCTGCGGGCCATCTTCGCGTGCCGCGAGCCCGACAAGGACGCGGACCCGTTCGCGAACCTGCCGGTGAACCTCGCGCGCCTCGTCTGGGCCGCCCAGCGCCAGTTCGAGTGCGGCCCGCGCCTCGAGCGGGCCCAGCTCGACCCGCGCGTCGCCCTGAGCGGCGTCGCGCGGCTCTGCCGCGCGCTCCGGACGTGCCGCGCGTCCGAGTCCGGCCCCGCGGCCGCGGCCGCGGCCATGGAGACGGACGACGACGCCGACGGCGTCGCCGCCGTCGACGCCCTCGTGAACGCGGGCCGGACCGAGACCGACGCCGAGGACCCGACGGCCCTCTTCGCGATCCTCATCCGGTGCACGCTCGCCGCGCGCAAGTGCTGCTTCGAGTACCGGCTGAACCGCGCCGCCTTCGACTGGCTCATGGGCGAGATCGAGAGCCGCTTCGTCCAGGCGCGGGCCCACGCGGGCGAGATGTGCGGCGTGCTCGCCGCCCAGTCCATGGGCGAGCCCGCGACGCAGATGACGCTCAACACGTTCCACTTCGCGGGCGTCAGTGCCAAGAACGTCACGCTCGGCGTGCCGCGGCTCAACGAGATCCTCAACGTGGCCAAGACCGTGCGCACGCCGTCGCTGACCATCTACCTCGCGCCGGAGATCAAGGACGACGAGGAGAAGGCGCGCGAGGTCCAGGCCAAGCTCGAGCACACGACCTTGGGCGACGTGACGACCTTAACGCAGATCGTCTACGACCCGGACGCCACTTCCACGGTCGTCGAGGACGACAGGGAGTTCGTCGCGGCCTACTGCGACGTGCCCGACGAGGACTTCGACCCCAAGGCCATGTCGCCCTGGGTCCTGCGCATGGAGCTGAACCGCGAGGTCGTCGCGGACAAGAAGCTCCGCATGGCCGACGTCGCGGCGACGATCGCCGACGAGTACGGCGCGGACCTCCACTGCATCTACGCCGACGACAACGCGGACAAGCTCGTGCTCCGCGTGCGCATCCGGTCGGGGGGCGCGCGCGCGGGCGGCGACGACGCCGCGCCGGCGCTCGGCGACGCCGAGGTCGACGACGACGAGTGGACCTTCCTCCGGCGCATCGAGGGCAACATGCTCAGCGATCTGCGGCTGCGCGGCGTGCCCCGCGTGACCAAGGTCTACATCAAGAAGACGAAGATGACGCGCTGGGACCCGGACACGGGCGCGCTCGGCGGCGACGAGGAGTGGGTGCTCGAGACGGACGGCACGAATCTGGCGGCCATCCTGGGCGACAGGGACGTGGACCACACGCGGACGTGCTCCAACGACATCGTGGAGATCTGCGACGTCATGGGCATCGAGGGCACGCGGCAGGCCCTGCTCCAGATGCTCCGCGAGGTCATCTCCTTCGACGGCGCCTACGTCAACTACCGCCACCTCGCCGTGCTCTGCGACACCATGTGCTTCCGCGGGTCGCTCATGGCCATCAGCCGCCACGGCATCAACCGCGGCGACTCCGGCCCGCTCCTCTCCGCGTCCTTCGAGGAGACGGTCGAGATCCTCTTCAAGAGCGCCGTCTACGCGCGGTCCGACGACGTCGACGGAGTCACGCCGAACATCATGCTCGGCCAGCTCGCGCACGTCGGCTCCGGCGTCTGCGATCTGCTCTTGGACACGCCGCAGCTCCAGCACGCCGTCGAGCTCGAGGCGCCGGACGCGCCCGCGGGCGCCGCGGCGGACCCGGCGACGCGCGGCGCCTTCGCCGACGCCGGGGGCTTCGGCGCGCCGTCGCCGGCGCACACGCCCTACGCCGCGAGCCCGTCCGGCATGTACGGCGCGTCGCCCGCGCGCGGCGGCGCGACGCCGGGCTGGGGCGACGCGTCCTTCTCGCCGTCCATCGGCGGCGTCCAGTCCGTCCTCTCGCCCGTCTACGGCGTCTCCCCGGTCCTCTCCCCGGCCTACGCGCCCACGTCGCCGGCCTACTCGCCGACGAGCCCCGCGTACTCGCCGACGAGCCCGGCCTACTCGCCGACGTCGCCGGCCTACTCGCCGACGTCGCCCGCCTACTCGCCGACGTCGCCGGCCTACTCGCCGACGAGCCCGGCCTACTCGCCGACGTCGCCGGCCTACTCGCCCACGAGCCCCGCGTATTCGCCCACGAGCCCGGCCTACTCGCCCACGAGCCCGGCCTACTCGCCGACGTCGCCCGCGTACTCGCCGACGTCGCCGGCCTACTCGCCGACGTCGCCGGCCTACTCGCCCACGAGCCCGGCCTACTCGCCGACGTCGCCGGCCTACTCGCCCACGTCGCCGGCCTACTCGCCCACGAGCCCGGCCTACTCGCCGACGAGCCCGGCGTACTCGCCGTCGAGCCCCGCGTACAGCCCGAGCTCGCCGGCCTACTCGCCGGGCAGCCCGGCCTACTCGCCGACGGCCTACGACGGCCCGAACCACGGCGAGACGAGCCCGAGCAGCTACAACCCGAGCTCGCCGTCGCTCGCCGGCACGACGCCCGCGGGCGGCGGCGAGTACTCGCCAAAGGCCAGCAGCGAGGCCGGCACGGCGTACTCGCCCTCGGGGCAGTACTCGCCCGACAGCGGCGGCGGCCAGTATTCTCCGACCGCCGAGGCGCCGCCCGACGACGAAGAAAAGAAGCCCTAGCCGCCCTCGGAAGCACGCGAGGCCCGGCCCGGCCGCCCCAAACACGAACACCGCTAATCCGCCGCTTGCCAGCGCTCTGTTTTCGGGGGTCGTGCGTCTGGCGCTCGGGCCCGGGGTGGGGGACGGACGTCGCCTGATCTCCGCCCGCCCGCGCGCGCGCCCTATATATACTAGTACTTCCGCACGCGTCGGCGCTGGGTGCTGGCCACCGAAGGGGCCGGGACTCCGGAGGAGCTATGCGTGAGCAGAGGGGTCGTGTGAGAGGTGTCGAGATTTCAGCGAGGAGCTCACCTAGAGCGTCGCGTCGGGTTCAACCCGACGGCGAGCTCTGCTCGTTGCAGCTAGATGTTGCAGCTAAAATCTGCAGCACACTTGCGCCCCGCCACCGCCACTAGACATCGATTTCCCCACTAGAATGAGCTCTGAGCTCAGAGAGCATGTTGGTTGATTTAGAGACCTTATGCAGCCGCTATGGCATGGATTCTAGCCGTTCTTCTTCGTGCGCGCCCCGGACATGTTGCGACGACAACCACGCGCAAAAATCGGCGCTCGATGTGGTCGCGCGCGTCCGGAATCGGCTCAAAAGTGGTCGATTTGCGAGTTATAGCCCATGGATCCAAGGGTTTGCGCGAGTTCGGGCGTGCCAGGAGTCGCAGGGGCGGCGATCGTGTCCTATTGTTACCCCACCGTCGCGCTGCGCAAGTGGTTCCGCGTCGCGGGCTCCGTCGGCGTTTTTACAGCGTTCGAGAGCGTGTCGGCGTTTCGCTCGGGAAGCCTCGAACGCGCAGCCGTGGACTCGAAAACAGCCCCGACGGTCGTCTGGCGGTCCGGTCAGCTCGGTCTATGTACTGAGCGTCCTAAAACGACCAAGGGACGGGCAAAGCTGCCTCGGGCGACTCGATGACCCCGAATCGACTCGAAATCATCAAATCCGAGCACCTGGCGCGGCGGCGGTGGCCGCGCGCGCGCGTCGCTCGGCAACAAATAAGCTTTGGCCGACCTCCTAGGACTGATGCGCCGCGGAGCCGCCGAAAACCGCACCCGAATCGGTGTCGACGCCGCCGAGAACGAGCTGCGCAGGCCGCCGCCGATGTCGAGTGGCGGCCTCCAGCCAATCAGGACGCAAGTGAGCAGCTCCGGCGCGCGACGAGATCCGAGCAGACCTGAGGTCGGAGCCGCCACAGGTCTTCGTGTGCCAGCCCAAGTGACCGGCAGAAAACACCCACATCGCGCCGCGTAGCCCCGGCGGCCACCAACCGGCACGCGCGCGCGAAAAATCCGCGCGTCGGGCGGCGAAGAACACGCCAAAAGAAATGCTCGAGGTGCGCGAGCTCTTCCAGACCAAGAAGCTGGGCCTGCAGCTGGGCTGGGACGAGGAGCACGACCGCGCCGTCGTCGAGAAGGCGCCGGAGTCGCGGCCCTGGCTCCTGGGCCTGAAGCTCGCGAGCGTCGGCGAGCGCGCCGTCGCGCCGATCGAGACGAAGCGGGCGTGGAGGGCGCTCCTCGAGAGCCTCGCGCCGCGGCCCCTGCGGCTCGGGTTCCTGCCCGCGGACGTCGACGCCGAGCGGCTCGCGGCCGTCGTCGCGTCCGTCGCCGCGGGCAGCGCCGCGCCCGACGACGCGGTCGCGCGCGTCGCCGGGCGCCTGTCGCTGTCGCCCGACGCGCTCGCGCCGCTCGCCGACGGCATCGTCGAGGCCGTCGAGGCCGCGCGCGCCGCGCGGAAGAAGGACCGGCGAAAGATCCCGAAGAAGGCGCGCGCGTCGCCGCCGCCGCCCGCCGCCGCGGCGTCCGACGCCGAGTCGGCGACGTCGGAGCGGTCGGGGAGTTCGGAGCCGCCGGAGCGGACGGAGCGGCCCGAGGCCGCCGCGCCGGCGAAGCGCAAGCAGGCCGCCGCGCCGGAGGAGCGCAAGAAGGCCGCCGCGCCGGAGAAGCGCAAGAAGGCCGCCAAAGCCGCCGCGAACGAGGAGGAGAAGCCCGCGACGCCGCCGCCGCGGGCCCCCGCCGCCGAGACCGACTCGGAGACGCGGGGCCGGTCGGCGCGCCGCGCCGAGGACGCCCCCGGCTCGGACGCGCGGAGCCGGAGCCGGTCGCCGCGCGCGGGCGCGTCCGACAGCGAGGACTCGACGGCGCTCGACGAGTCGTTCGCGCCCGCGATGGAGGCGCTCGTCGCCGAGCCCGCGCACGCGACGCTCGCGGCGGCGCCGCGCCGCGGCGACCGCGCGGACGCGCTCTCGGAGCGGAGCGAGCGCTTCCGGCGGCGCCGCGCGGCGCTCCGGAGCCGCTACGTCGACCGCCGCTTCGTCGACTACTCCGCGGGGAGCGCGACGCTCCGCGTCGTCGACGTCGAGTACGACCACGGCCGCGCGACCTTCGTGCTCCTCGCGTCCGACGGCGGCGCGCCGCGCGCCTACGACGTCACGCGCGCCGTCGACGACATGGTCGACGACTTCCGGTGCCTCGAGACGCGGCCCGCGGGCACGGCCGTGCCGCCCGAGTACCACATGAAGCGCGCGCGGCGGCCCTCGGCCTGGGAGGACGTCGCCGGCGCCGGCGACGGCGCCGCGGCGGCCGACGGCGACGCGTCCGACGCGGCGGCGCCCGACGCGCCGGCGCCCGACGGGCCGGCGCCCTCGCCGAAGCAGGCGCCGAAGAAGGCGAAGCAGGCGTCGTCGAAGTCGTCGGGCAAGTCCGTCGCCTGGACCTGCGCCGCGTGCACGTTCGAGAACTGGCGCGGCAAGAAGTGCGGCGCGTGCGGCTCGGAGAAGCCCGCGGCCGGCGCGGCCGCCGACGCCACCGAAGCCGCCGACGCGCCGCCGCCGCCGCCGCCGCCGACGCCGCTGCCGGCGCTCTCGTTCCGCGTCGGCGGCGACGGCGTGAAGCGCTCGGGCTCCCCGGACCGCCGGAAGAACCGGTCGCCCTTCGCGGAGGCGCCGTCGCCGGACCGCGGCGGCCGCGGCGGCGGCCGCGGCGGCCGCGGGGCGCGCGGCGGCGGCCGCGGGGGCCGCGGCGCGCCCGCCGCCGCGCCGGCGCCGCCGCCGCCCGCGGACGACCCCTTCGCCGCGCGCGACCGGCGCGTGCTGGGCCTGCCGCGCCAGGAGGGCTGGCGCTGCGCCAAGTGCGACGCGGCCAACGCCGTGGCCCGCGTGTCCTGCGTCGCCTGCGGCGACGTCCGCGCCGACGTGCGCCAGCGCCAGGTCGAGCTCTACGCCGCGCGCGGCCGCCGCCGGTCTCGGTCGCCGTCGCCGCGCCGCGACGACACGCGGGGCCTGAGCAACTCGTCGTCGTCGTCCGGCGGCGACGACGCGCCGCGCGGCGACGGCTACGACCACCGCGCGCGCCTCCAGCTCTCGTCCCTGGCCGACCACCGCCGCGGCGGCGCGGGCAGCGTCCGCGCGTTCTCCGCCGACGAACTGGCGCAGGCGAGCCGGACGCGCGACCGCGCGCGCGAGGCCGACGCGCGCCGCGCGCGCCGCCGCCGGAGCCGGAGCCGCGGCGGCAGCAGCGGCAGCTCCTCCGGCTCGTCGTCGTCGTCGTCGTCGGACGGGTCCCGGTCGCGCGGCCGCCGCGGGCGACCCCGCCACGCCGCCCCCTTCAAGAAGATGCCGTCGCGCGGCGACGGCTTCTTCCTGAGCCACGGCTAGGCACTAAGCTTCTCCATCAGCCTCAACCTAGGATCGAATTGCACTTCAACAAAATATTTGCGAGCGGCTCGTGAGCGGAAAGGTGAGGTCTCTTCCATCTGAGGCTCGGTCGCTTCCGTCTGCGGCGACCCGAGATCATGGGCTGGGACCTGCCCGACGACGACGTGAGCCTCGCGTCGACGGCGCCGCCGGACATGTCGAGCCTGGGCGGCTGGGACAACGCGTCGCTGCCGGAGACGCCCCCGCGGAGCAGCCCCGTGCCCGTGTCGCGCGGCGCGGACCTCGACGAGCTGCCCATGGTGACGGAGCACGAGTTCGGCCCCGCGGCGCCGCCGAGCCTCGGCGACGCGCCGCCGCCGGGCGTCGCCGACGGGGGCCTCGCCGCGGCGCTCGCGGCCGCGCGGCCCGCGGCGGCGCCGCCGCCGCGGCCGCTCGCGGAGGCGCGCGCGGAGGACTCGTCGCGGAGTTTGGCCAAGGCCGTCGCGGCGAGCAAGCAGCACGCGGCCGCCGCCGCCGCCGCCGCCGCGCCGCGCGGGTCCTACGCGGACATGACCGTCGCCGTCGAGTCGTCCGAGTCGGGCGAGTCCGCGACGCACGGGGACCCGTCCGCGGCCGCCCGCGAGGCCCGCACGCCGTCGCCGGCGCGCGACGCGTGCGCGCCGGTCGAGGACGACTGGAACGCGCGCCTCGAGCGGCGCCTCCGGGGCGCGCAAATCTGGCGCGACGACGGCGCGCCCGTCCGCAAGCGGCGGCCGGGGCCGCGGACGGGTGATGCGACGTCGCTTCAACGTGAGTGCGCCGCGCGCGTTCGTTCCGGAAGAGGCGTCCACGCGTCGAGAGCGCTCCGAGAGATGAGTGCTCGTCCAGCCGAAACGAGTGGAACGCGGCCGAGAGAGGCGCCTCCAAAGTCGGGCGCGTCGCACCCTCGCGCCGCGCAGGTGGCGGCCGCGGAGCAACGCGCGGCTCGCGGACATGCGGCGCGTCGGCGACCGCGTCGGCCGGGGCGCGCGCCAGATCGGCGCCCAGTTCGCGAAGCTGGGGCCGTCGCGGCGCAAGCGCTACCGCCTCAACGCGAAGCTCGCGGACGCGACGCGCGGCGTCTGCCGGACGCTGCGCGCCGAGGGCGCGGGCGTCGTGCGCCGCGTCGTCGCGCTGCGCGACGGCACGGTCGTCTCCGCCGGCGACGACGGCCTGGGCCGCGCCTGGGACGACTCGGGCTACGGCTTCGTGCCCCTCGCGGGCCACCGGGGGCCCGTCTTCTGTTTGATCGTGCTCCCCGACGGCCGCTGCGCGACCGCGGGCGAGGACGGCGTCGTCCGCGTCTGGGACGACCTCGCGGGCCGCGACCCGGACGGCCACCGGGCGCGGTGCCTGAAATTGAAGGTCCAGGGCGAGGCGCCCTTCCGCATCGTCGCGCTCGCGGCCGTCGGCGGGGGGCGGGTCGCCGCGGGCGGCATCACAAACGTCGTCTGCGTCTGGGACGACGTCCGCGAGGCCGACAGCGCCTACGGGGACCGCGTCGCCGTCCTCGTGCTGCGGGGCCACGAGGCGCCCGTGCGGTGCCTCGCGGCGCTCCCGGACGGCCGCGTCGCGTCGGGCGGCGACGACGGCACAATTAGGGTCTGGGACGACGTCGAGTACGTCGGCGAGAACTCGTTCACGAAGATGGTGAGGGTCGGCGCCGTCGTGTTGGTCGCCCACGGCCGCGTGCTCGCGCTCGCGGTGCTCGAGGACGGCCGGCTCTGCTCCGCCGGCGGCGACGGGCTCGCCAAGGTCTGGGACGGCGCGCTCTACGAGCTCGACGGCAAGTGCCGGCCCGCGGAGCTCGCGGCCGCGACGGCGGGCACCGCGGACCTCGCGGGCCACGAGGGCGCCGTGTCCTGCCTCTGCCCCCTGCCGGACGGCCGCCTGGCGACGGCGGGCGACGACGGGTGGCTGCGGGTCTGGGACGCGCCGCGCGAGTACGCCGCGGCGGCGCCGGCGTGCGTCGCGCTCCGGGGCCACGCGTCGCCGATCCTCGACGTGCAAGCGTTGAGCGACGGCCGCCTCGCGAGCGGCGGCCTCGACAAGCTCGTGCGCGTCTGGAACGACGTGCGGAATTTGGACGGCCGGTCCGTGCGCGACGCGCTCCGCTGTGTGGAATTCAACCACCGGTTTGGGCGGTCCTGACCAAACTTCAGAATTCTCTAGCTCGATCAAATCGAAGTCGATTCGGCTAATTTTTGGACGAATCGATTGCTCTCGTCGAGTTCTCGAAGCACAGTCGAAGAGCTTGCGTCGAAACTGTCGCATATGTGCACATTGAAGTCGGGTTGAAGATTTGAATTCCACACAGGTGCTCCGCGACGCGGACCTCGAGTCCTTCGCGCTCCGGGGCCACGGCCACCGCGTGACGTGCCTGTGCCTGCTGCCGGACGGCCGCGTCGCGTCGGGCTCCGGCGACGCGTCCGTGCGCGTGTCGGAGCCGCGGCTCATGAACCCCGTGCTCGAGCTCATCACGAACTGCTACGAGTACGGCGACGTCGAGGCGCTCGTCGAGGCGACGGTGCGCAAGGGGCCGAACTTCTTGTGCGGTCTCTTGCTGGGCGCCGCGGAGGCCATCGTGCGCAACCGCGACGAGTACACGGCGCTCTGCGCGGACCCCGAGGGCACGCGGGCGCGCCTGCGGCACCACGGCCTCGCGCTGGCCGTGGACCTCTTCGACGCGACGGAGGAGCTCGTGCGGCGCGAGCACGACGTGTCCCGCCGCGACGCGCTGCTCAAGGAGGCGCTCCTGCCCTGCGTCCACTCGCTGGCCAACGACCGCGAGGTGCTCACGGAGCTCGCGACGGGGCCCGCGCTCTGGAACTCGGACGCGGCGGACCGGCTCGCGGCGACGCTCGCGTTCTCGACGGTGCTCGAGGTCAAGTACCGCTGCGGGCCCTGCTACGTCTACTACTTCGAGATCTTCGTCTTCGCCGTGCTCATGTCCTCCTACCTCCTGCTCTGCCACCTGCAACTCGGGAGCACGGACGCGCGGACGCGCGGCGCGCAGTTCGCGTGCTGCGTCTCGTGCCTGTGCGCGGTGTCGTACTTCGCCGTCGTCGAGCTCTTCCAGGTCATCTACCTGCGGCAGCTCGAGCTCGGCATCCACTGCCCCGTGGCGCGGCACCGGCGGCGCAACGGGCTCGGCGCGCCCCTCAAGGTGCCCTGGCCGGGCGTGCCGTTGCGCCGCGGGCGCGACGCGGGCGACCCGGCGGCCGACGGCGGCGACTTCGACGAGGACGACGAGGACGAGGAGGAGGAGCACTCCTGGCCCCAGCACCTCTACCGCGCGTTTGCGTTTTATTGCGTGCTCCCGCTCGCGGCGGCGGCCCTCTGGCCCGCGACGTGGCTCCTGGCGTCGCGCGGCGGCTGGAGACGGTGCGCGCGGCAGGTGCGGCGCGAGATCGACTGGGATCCGCTGACCTTCTTCGGCGCGCCGCGCGCCTGGCGCAACGACTACTGGAACGTCGTCGACCTGGGGGCCATCACCATCGTCGCGACGGTCTGCTCCTGGACGCTCGCGCACTGGGCGCACCACGGCGAGCCGCCGCGGCTGGACCGCGACGGCGCGCACAGCGACCACAACGCGGCCTACCTCAACCTCTGCGTCGTGGGGGCGATGATTCTGTGGATGAAGACGCTGGGCTTCCTCAAGGCCTTCTCCATCAAATTCGCGACCTTCGTGTTGATGCTCGAGCAGACGGTGCGCGACATCCAGCCGTTCCTCGTCGTGCTCGCGGTCTTCTTGTTCGCCTTCGCGACGGTGTTCCACCTGCGGCTGGCGGGCTGGGACCACGACCGCTTCCACTTCCACGACGACGGCGAGCTGAACCCGTTCCGGTCCGTCAAGGACCTGCTCCAGGCGCTGGTCATGCTCGCGTTCGTCGGCGACTTTGACTACAACGCGTACCCGCGCGGCGTCGACGTCTTCTGGCTCGACTGCTTCCTCTTCGTCATGATCGTGGTCATGCTCAACGTGCTCATCGCCATCGTCTGCGACTCCTACACGGACGCCGTGGAGCACGGCGACCGCCTCTTCTGGCGCGCGCGCCTCGAGCAGCTCACGGAGATCCGCGTCGTCTGGGGCCGGTCGCTCATCAAGCTGGGCTGGTCCCGGACGAACCCGGCGGACGTGCTCGTCATCCTCCAGCAGGAGTTCGAGAACGACGTCGCCGAGGAGTCCAAGGCCGAGGGCACGCGGCGCCGCATCATCCACTCGCTCCGCCACATCCGCGACGAGGTCGACACGACGACGCAGGCCCTCGGCCGCGTCGGCGACCTCAGCGGCCACATGATCCGCATGTCCGCGGACTTCGACGCGCGCATGTCCCGCGTCGAGCGCCACATCACCGACCTCGACGCGAAGTTCGACCGCGTCCTCGAGCTCGCGGAGGCGCGGACGCGCGCGATCACGACGCACGGCGCCCACCTCTAGCGCGGCGGCGCGGGCCCACCCAAGCGCGAGGGATCTTCGTTTCGACCCTGCAGCGCAGCTCCGCAGACGCCACCGACGCGCGAGGCCTAACCTTCGCGCGAGCGCTAATTTGAAACTGCCGAAGGATGCCGTTGGTGCAAAGAGGTCCCCTTTTGTTCGGACGCGTTCGGACGCGTGATGGCGCGCGTTCTGCGCGCCCACGACCTGGGCTTCGTCTGGTTCCACGCCCAGAGCTACCTCTACGCCGACGAGGCGCTGGCGCTCGTGCGGTCGGGCCTCTGCGACGCGCGCTTCGTCACGTCCCTCGTCGTCAAGCAGCGCCGCGGCGCCGCGGCGGACTTCCTGGCCGAGGCCCTCGCAAACCTGCCCGCCGTCGAGCGCGTGCGCTTCGCGGGGCGGCCGCGCCGCGCGCCGAAGCAGCTCGCGCGCGCCGCCGCCGTCAAGGACGACGGCGGCGACGGCGACTCGCGCGCGGCGGCCGCGCTCGCGGACGACGGGTGGCGCGACCGCGCGCGGTGCCTCGCGGCGCTCCGCGCGGGCTGCCCGGGCCTGCGCGACCTCGCCGTCGAGGGCTGCTTCGACGTGTCGGCGCTCGCGGGCTGCGGCGCGCTGGCGCGGCTGGACCTGTCGAACTCGTGGATCCTGCGCAACGTCGACGCCGTCGCCGCGCTGCCGTCCCTCGTGGCGCTCTCGCTCGAGCTCACGTCCGTCGACGACGTGGGGCCCCTCGCGGCCTGCGCCCTGCTCGAGGACCTGGACCTCCGGCGGTCCAACGTCGAGGACGTGGCGCCCCTCGCGGCCTGCGCGCGGCTCCGCGTCTTCAAGCACCGCAACGTCCACTTTTCGGACGTCGCGCCGCTGGCCGCGTGCCCGCGGCTCGAGCACGTCGACTGCGACGGCTGCGGCGTCGTCGACGCGGCGCCCCTGCGGGCCTGCGAGCGCCTGGCCTACGTCGACCTCGGCGCGTCCATGCCCGCGAAGCTCGCGGGGACCGACCTCCGGGCCGTCCTGCCGCGCGTCGCCGTCTTCAAGTGGGAGTGCCGCGAGACGCAGAAGGCCCTCGAGGCGCGCGTCATGCTGCCCCCCGACCCCCTCCGCCACCTCCGCCTCCTCTCCGCCTGCCGCGCCTAGGCCCCCGGTTACGACCCGCCGGCGCCGAGGACGCGCCGCAGCCCGGCCGTGATGTTCGCGGAGACGTTGGGCAGGTCCGAGGTCACGCGGTCCGACGTGTCCTCGTGGCCCGTGGCGACGTCGAGGATGTCGCGGATGACGTCGTAATTCCCGAGGATCTCCACGTGGCGGGACGTCTTCGTGCCGCCCCGCGGGTCCTGCCAGATCGGGCACGCGTCGTGCGGGTACTCGCGGACCACCGTACGCACGTTCGACGGGTTGTAGATGGGCGCCAGCGCCGCGTCGCGCCAGAGCCCGTAGCACGGGTAGCCGAGCGACGCGAGCGGCACCGTGCCGTCGCCGTCGCCGGACTCGACGCCGCTGTCGGCCCTCTCGTAGTCGATGGTGCCGAGGTCCGCGGCGTGGCGCCCGGGCCCGCGCCGCGCGTAGTGGTAGCGCCGCTCCGTGTCGATGCCCGTGCCGTAGAGGCAGTAGACGGTCATCTTCGGCGCGGCCGGCAGCGCCGCGTTGAGCGGGTTCTCCGACGCGGCCGCGAGCCGCTTCTCGGCCGCCGCGGCCGCGCGCGGCCGCCCGCGCCACGGCCAGAGCCCGGCGCCCGTCGCCGTGCGCCGCGGCCGCCGCGCGGCGGGGTCGTAGTCGAGGATGCTCGCGCCGCGCGGCAGGTCCGCCACGAGCCCGCGCCGAATCGCGTCGACGCCGAGGGCCTCGTCGTCCGCGGCCGGCGCGTTCTCCGCGCCCTCCTCGCAGAAGAGGACGTCGCACTCGAGGTCCGACCGGTTCCGGGAGCGGACGGTGACGACGTCGCCGCCCCAGACCGCGTCGCCGCCCTTGGGGAGCAGAGAGCCTAAAGCGCCGAGGCTCCGGTAGATGTCGCGCTGCTGCGTCTTGTTGAGGAACGACATCTGCGAGTCGATGAGCTCGTTGACCTTGCCGAGCATGGCCGTCGCCTTCATCTCGCCGCTCAGGATCGCGCCCAGGGGCCCGACGGCGCCGAGGAGCGACCCGCCGAGGGACACGAACGCGTGGACGTGCGCGTCGACCCAGCCGGGGTCGCCGGCCTCGCACCAGGAGAAGAAGAAGAGCGCCAGGGCCGCGCCCATGGAGTGGCCCACGACGACGGCCTTCTCGCCGCGCTGGCGCGCGAGCACCTCGACCTCGGCCTTGAGCCGGCTCAGATAGCCGTCGCGCCGCTCCAGGTTCCGGAAGCTCAGGCGCCAGTCGTAGCAGGCCATGTGCATCGTGGACCGGTCGTAGCCGACCTCCGCGGCGTTCGCGAGGATTTTGGCCCAGAGCCAGTAACCTATGCCGCGGGAGTTCAACCGTAGAAGAAGAAAAATCCTTCGACGCCGCGTCTAGCCCGGCGCGAAGTACTCGGCGCCGCTCCACCCCAGCGCCGCGCGGACCTCGTGGCCGTCGCGGTCGAGGCCCGTCGTCGCGTTGAGCGAGATGTGGTCGAGCCAGCAGCTGATGTTCTTGACCGCCGCGCGCGCCATGCCGAGGCCGCCCCAGAGCCGCTCCCGAAACCAGCCCCGGCCGTAGCACGCGCCCGGCCGCCACAATTCGAGACCGCAGCTGATGATGCCCGGCACGAGCACGAGCGGGTGCTTCGGCGCGTCGCCCGCCGCGCGCGCCGACGGCCTGATGCGCGCCTCCAGGTGCTCCTCGACGTGCGCCGTCCAGCCGAGCCGCCGCAGCAGGTCCGGGCCGGCTCCGGCACGTCCGCGATGCGCACGATCTTCGCGCGCTCCTTGAGGTACGACGTGCGCAGCCGGTAGGCCACGAGCGCGACCAGCGCGCCGGCGGCGAGGCGGCGCATGAGTCGTGCGAAGGGCCGATTTGCAGCGCTCAAGACACGATTTTCTCTTGCGGCGCTAGATTGATTTTGTGAGCTCTTCAGGTCTGTTTTGCCCCAGGATTTTGTGTGAGATTGCAGCGTTGGTAATACGTTGCAAAGTGGTGATGCGATGTGGCTGATCAAGTGCAGACCGTGCTCACGTACCTACTAGATCGAGCTAAAAAATGCGCGCATACGCTTGTGGCAGAAAGGCAACGAGCGACATTGCCACAGCATGTTCGGCTCATTTCTGCTCCTCGAACGATGCTCGGCTTATTTGGTCGTCGCGCGCTGCGTCCTAGCTCCGCTGGGGCGCTCGCGAAGCGCGCACCGACCGCACCGATGCTGAGTCGCATCACCTGCCGCGCGACGGCGGCGGCGCCGGTGCTCCGCGCGCACACGAGCTTCGTCGCCTGCCGCGCGCCCGGCCTCGCACCCGCCCGCCGCGCGCCGTCCCTCCTGCGCGTCGCGCCAGGCGCGGCGCGGCCGCCGTCGCGGCCGCTCGTCACGATCGCGCGCGCGCGGCCGACGTGGATCGCGTCGCGAAGCTTCAACCGCCCGGAGGTGCTCGGCACCGCGCCGGCGCGCGACCTCTCCGGCGGGCCGCCGCGGGGCGCGGGCCGCCTCGCGGGCCTCTTCGGCCTCGCGACCGTCGCGTTCGGCAAGATGAAATATGTCCTCGTCGCGCTGAAGCTGACCAAGGTCGCGCCGGTGCTGTCCATGGTCGCGACGTCGGCGGCGTACAGCCTCATCTTCGGCCCGGCCTACGGCTGCGGCATGGTCGGCCTCATCTTCGTCCACGAGTGCGGCCACGTGCTCGCGATGCGCTACTACGGCATCCCCTTCTCGCCCATGGTCTTCGTGCCCTTCGTGGGCGCCATGGTGCAGATGAAGAAGTTCCCGGCGGACGCCGTCGCGGGCTCGGTCATCGCGCTCGCGGGGCCCGTGCTCGGCGGCGCCGCGGCGGCGGCGACGGCCGCCGCGGGCCACGCGCTCGACAGCCAGCTCCTCATGGCGCTCGGCGACTGGGGCTTCATGATCAACCTGTTCAACCTGCTGCCCATCGGCGGCCTCGACGGCGGCCACGTCGGCGACGCGCTCCACCCGGCGCTGCCGGCCCTGGGCCTCGCGGGCGGCGTGGGCCTCGCGGCGACGGGCGTCGTCGCGTCGCCCATCTTCTACCTCGTGCTCCTCGGCGGCGCGTTCCAGGTCGGCGGCCGCCTCCTCGGCGTCGTCGACGCCGCGCCGGCCTACAAGCGGCTCGCGGGCGGGCCCGCGGCGGCGGTCTTCGCGGCCTACGTCGCTCTGATCGGCGCGCTCGTCGGCGGCATGGCCATGAACAACGTGGGGCGCCTGTCCCCTCGCGCGATCGAGGCCCAGATGCGCGGCGAGAAGCTCGACCTCCCGCCGGGCGCGGACGGCTCCTCGCCGTACGACGACTACTTCTACGACCCGTCCGACGACCGCGACGACGACCGTGAGTGGGGAGCCGCGCCGCCGCGGCGCTGATGGGGTCTCTAAGTTGGACCTCCCATATTAGTCATAGGTGAGTGGGTCGCGGAATTCCCACTCGTCCGGCTTGTTCCAGCGCGCGGCGCGCGTTCCTTCCAGGCGGCTGTGGATGATATCGTTGCTGACGCCCGTTCTCTTGCTCGCCGCGGTCATCGATTCAAAGAACTCCCACGGGCCGTGGCTGCCGATCTTGCGCGCCTCGCACCGTCGCGGCCCCCCGACGAGAATCGGAACGATGGGCAACGGCGGTGCGCCGGGCCGCACGGCGGGTGGAGCCGCGCGCCAGTGCGACTGCGCGTAGCACGGCGGCTGCGCGTTCCAGGCCGCGTAGCCGGTCGCGCCGTGCGGCGCGCGCAGAGGTAAGACCGTGTGCGCTGGCGACTGACGTGCGAGGCAGGCCGCGACGACGGCCACGCGCAGCTTCCTGTCGTCGATCATCCACCGGCGGATGGTGACATCGTCCCGGGCGGCGCAGACCGCGGGCGTCGGAGCGGCGGGCAGCGGCGGTGCGGCGGGCAGCGGCGCGGCCGGCGCCGGAACGCGTGGTGGCGCGGCGGGTCGCGGCACGGGCCGCGGCGCGTGCGGCAGTGGAGTCGCGGAAGCGTCGCGAAACTCCCAATCGTCCGGCTTCCAGCGCGCGGCTTTCCCTTCCATGCAGTTGCGGATTCTCTTTTCTCTGACGGCCGTCCCCTCGGACGCGAGGGAAACCGATCGAAACCACTCCCACGGGCCGTGGCTGCCGATCTTGCGGGCCTCGCACGGTCGCCGATACGTCTTCCGCGGCGCGGCGGGAGCCGGCGCGGGCGTCGGATCGGCGGGCAGCGGCGGCGCGGCGGGCAGCGGTGGTGCGGCCGACGCCGCAGCCGGCGCCGCGGCCGGCGGCGCCGCGCGCGCGGCCTGGAGCGACGCCTCGGCGCGCTTGAGCAGGTCGTCCTGCGCCTGGCGCCTCGCGGCCACCTCCGCGGACGCGTCGGCGGGTGGTGGCGCGGCCGGCGCCGGAGCGCGTGGCGGCGCGGCGGGCAGCGGCGGTGCGGCGGGCAGCGGCGACGCGGCGGGCAGCGGCGGTGCGGCCGGCGGCGCGGCCGGCGGCGCGGCCGGCGGCGCGGCCGGCGGCGCCGCGCGCGCGGCCTGGACCGACGCCTCGGCGCGCTTGAGCAGGTCGTCCTGCGCCTGGCGCCGCGCGGCCACCTTCGCGGACGCGGCCGCGGCGGCGGCGCCCGGCGCGCCCGGCTGCGGCATGCCCCAGAAGTGCTTGCGGCGCTCGCCGAGGAACTCGACGCGGGGCGCGCCGTCCTCGCCGAGGGGCGGCTCGGCGGCGCCCGCGAGGCCGTCCGGCGGCGGGCACGCCCGCGCGGGCCGCGGCGCCGCGTCGCCGGCGGGCCGCGGCGCTGGTTTGCGAAATTCCCACTCGTCCGGCTTCCAAGGCTTCGCGGCGTGCGTTCCTTCCAGGCGTTTGTGGATGGTCTCGTTGCTGACGCCCGTTCTCATGGTCGCGACGGTAATCGATTCAAAGAACTCCCACGGGCCGCGGCTGCCGATCTTGCGGGCCTCGCACGGTGTTTTTCTCTGTCCCGGCGCCCGCGCGGCGGGAGCCGGCGCGGGCATCGGAGCGGCGGGCAGCGGCGGCGCGGCGGGCAGCGGCGCGGCCGGCGCCGGAGCGCGTGGCGGCGCGGCGGACAGGTTGTTGCGCCGATAAAAGGCCGAGTTCCAGCGATTCTTCACCGCGCTCTCCGCGCGGCCGGGCAAGAGTTCGGCAATCTTCGTCCACGCGTTGCCGAATCGCTGCTGCGCCTCGACCAAGATCGCGTCCTCCTCGCGGGTCCAGCCGCCCTTCTTCAGGTTCGGGTCCAGGTGGTTCGTCCACCGCTCGCGGCACTGCTTGCCGATGCGGCCGGGGATCCGCTCCGCGATCTGCATCCACCTGAGCCCCCCCTCGCGCATGCACTCGATGATGATCTTGTCCTCCTCCTCCGTGAAGGCGCCCTTGACCAGGCCCTTACTCAGAACGGTCTCCCAGCGGCGCCGACAATCCGCGGAAGTGCGTCCGTTTGGTCCGGCGAAGAGCGCATTTGCGATCAGGTTCCAGGCAGGGCTGTCCGTGGTCCCGACGGCCAGGCGCAGCGATGCGTCTTCGCCGCTCGTCCACCGACGGCCGATGACATCGTCCCGGGCGGCGCAGACCGCGCGGGTGCCGTCTCTTTCTGGAAGCCGCCCAGGCGGGGGGTCGGCGTCGACGCTGACGCTGGGGTCGCCCTCGCCGAGGTCGGAGCCCTCGACGTCGTCGCCCGCCGGCGTCGAAGCGGCGGGCGACAGAAGGAAATGCGTCGGCGCGTCGGCCGCCGCGGGTCGCGGCTGCGGCGGCGCGGGCGCCGGAGCGCCGGCGTCTTCCTCGCGCGGCCGCGCGCGCTTCGGAGCCTCGTCCTCGTCCGACTCGCCCGTGAGGTCGATGAGCGGGCGCTTCACTCCCTTCGCGTCTTCGACCGTCTCGGACACGACGACTCCATTCTCACTCACGGCCGCGCGGCTGTCGTCCGGACACGCTGGCGCGATGCTCCATCCCGAACCGAAGGGGTCGGTCTGGAAGAGCTCGGTCAATGAGAACGGCGCGCCGGGGACGCATAGCCCGCCCGCCAACATCGTGTCGGCGGTACTTCAACGAAGCAAACTTGAAGGTGTCAAAGTGAGCCCTCCCAGCGAGCGCGGCGCAAAACGCGCGCGCGCGACACGCAAGCAAAGGCAGCGCTCCGCAAGCACGAGCAGCGCCGCATCGCTCGCCGCGATGAAGGTCGTCTTTTCCCGAAATCGCGTCGCGCACTTGGGCTTGCTGCTGTCGCTCTCGGCGCTCGTCGCCGAGGTCCCAAAGCGCGAGCCGGCGTCAGCGCAGTCGATGATTCGCGCACATTCGACCCGCGCACGGATCTCTCGCGGCGCGCGGCGCGCTCGCTCGAGCGATGCGCAGCGCTCCGACGGCGCGCGCCGCGCGGCCGAGCGGGACGACGCGATCGCGCCGCCGCCGCCGTAGGTACTATGGCATGAAGCGGCTATCGGCTTATGGGTTGGCCGTGACTCTCGTGTGCCAGATCAATTCGTCCATCATGTCCTTCAGAGAAAAGGTGAAAAAGCGGAGGGAGTGGGAGGCCGCGATGGCCGAGAAGGCCGCGGAGGTCGCGAAGCGGTCGAATCCGAAGAAGAAGAACAGCTAAGCTTGTCTTCGTAGTACAGGCGTGGGGTGGGGAGAGGGGAGTCTGGGGTTTGATGGCCTCGATCACTGAGCGCGGATGGCATGGCTCTCATCCGCGGACACGCGATTTGCCCCGGCGGGTTTGGGAGAGCGCCGTCGACATCAAGAGGCACCTGCTCTGCGTGCTCGGCGGGTCGAGGCACGACGAGTTCGACGAGCGCACCCGCGCGATAGCAGCTGTCTGAACACGCGGGCGACGCGCACGAGCGAGCACAGCACGCGCGAAAACGCGCACCACATCGTGCTCACCGCAAATCGCGCCACAAGCGGCACCACCGACACCATGGACAACGAGCCCTACGAGAAGCAGAACGAGGGCTGGCAGGACAGCAAGCCCAAGCCCGGCTGGATGCAGCTCATGGCGGAGCAGGAGGAGGTCATCGAGATCGTCAGCGACGACGAGGACTCGAAGCCCGCGCCCGCGAAGCCGGAGCTCGTGGAGATCTCCGACGACGGCGACGACGCCTGGGGCCTCAGCGACGACGACGAGTGGGAGAAGGAGATGGCCGCCGCGGGCAGCGGCACCGCGATCGCCGCGAAGAACCTCGCGGCCGGCGGCCTCGGCGGCGCGAGCGGCCCGGCGCCGGACGCGGAGCCGGACGCGAAGCCGGACGTGAAGCCGGCGCTCGGCAAGAAGAAGAAGAAGGCCGGCGGCGGCGCGTCGGGCGGCGGCGGCGGCGCGTCGGGCGGCGGCGGCGGCGCGTCGGGCGGCGGCGGCGCGTCGGGCGGCGGCGGCGCGAAGAAGAAGGCGCGGCCCGGCCCGCTGAGCCTGTCGCCGGCCGAGAAGACGGCGCACCTCGCGACGCTGCCGCCGGGCGACCGGGACCTGCAGCGCGTGCTCTGGCACCTCGGCTTCAACTTCAAGCTCTTCCCGCACCAGCCCGCGGCCGTGCGCATGGTCGCGGGCGTGCCCGCGGACTGGCCGCGGTTGGGCGCCGGCGGCTCGCTCGACGGCGCGCTGCTCGCGTGCGCGCCGCCGGGCGAGCGCGGCGGCCTCCTCGGCGACGTCATGGGCCTCGGCAAGACCGTCGAGGCCCTCGGCGGCGCGGCGCTGCGCCAGGGCATCTGCCGGGCCAAGAACCTGGCGCCGCTGCCCGTCGTCATCGTCGGGCCCAACGCGTCCGTGCTCGACCAGTGGTACGACCACCTCGTCATGGGCGGCGTCGCGAAGACGGAGATCCTCAAGTACGCGGGCAAGTTCAAGGAGCGCACGGGCAAGTGGCGCGCGCGCGTCCACCCGTCGGGCGCCGGCGCGACGTGGGTGCTCCTCACGCGCCACTGCCTCATGAACGACGTCCGCGCGGCCATGGACTCCTTCGACTCCGGCGGCGACCGCGCGAGCGCGTCGCCCCTCTTCTCGACGGCGTCGCCGGAGCTGCTCGACGACCTGCGGACGCAGTACCTGTCGGCGAACGCGATCCTCAAGGGCAAGAACGACGTCAAGGAGAAGGGCGAGACGGAGCACGACTGCGTGCGGCGCCTCGTCGACGAGTTCTACCACAACGGCGGGCCCGCGCCGACGATCCGCACGCTGATCATCGACGAGGCCCACTTCCTGCGCAACCAGGTGTCGTTCTGGGGCATCGGCGCGGCGCTCTGCGGCCAGTCCGCCGAGCGGTGCGTCATGGCGACGGGCACGCCGTTCAACAACGGCCCGCGCGACATGGCCGCGCTCCAGTCCTACGTCGACGCGTCCAACGCCGCGGCGTCGACGCAGTGGTGGGTCGACGCGGTCTCGGGCAAGGGCGGCGCCGAGGTCGCCGCGGCCGTGCGGTCCTGGCGCGAGGGCGGCGGCATGCTCCGCCGCGGCACGGAGGTCCTCGCGCAGCAGCTCCCGGACAAGACCGTGCGCGCGCAGAACATGGTCCTCGGCGACGAGGAGCTCTTCGCCTACCTGCCGCTGGAGGACTCCCTTCTGGAGTTGCTCGACAAGTTCGCGGGCACCGACGACGCGGACAAGAAGGAGAAGCTGCGCCTCTTCCAGATCATGATGGCCATCATGTCGCTCATGCGCATGTCGCTCATCCACAGCCTCGCGCCGCACAACGGCCGCGAGCTCTCGCACCACTTCAGCCCGTCGCGGCGCGGCATGAATATTGGGGCGTGGCCCAAGGACAAGTGCGTCATGTGCGCGCCGAACCTCTCCCAGGAGGCCAAGGACCGCGACACGGCGCGCGGCTCGGGCAAGCAGGCGAACCGCTTCGGGGCCGCGGGGCCCAAGTCGACGCTGGACCTGGACGACAACGACGGCGACGACGACGACGGCGGCGAGAAGAACAAGAAGGACGACGAGGACGAGGACAAGGGCCCGCTCGTCGACGTGCCGGACGAGTACTGCCACCTCATGGGCCCGAACTCGGGCCACCGCATCCGCGCGTCGTGCCTGGCCAAGGTCACGGCCGGCGGCGCCGCCTGGTCCTGCCCGCGCTGCGACGACCTCGCGGCGCGCGCGCAGGTCGGCCAGGACGGCGCCAAGACCTACTGCGCCGGCGTCAAGGGTGGCTTCGTCGCGTCGACGAAGCTCCTCGAGGCGCTCGAGGACATCCGGGCCAAGCCCGCGGGCGAGAAGACCATCGTCTTCAGCTTCTTCAAGGCGCCGCTCGACCTCCTCGAGGCCATGCTCGACGAGGAGGGCGTCGAGTGCCTCCGCTTCGACGGCGACCTGCCGCAGAACAAGCGCGGCGCGGTCCTCGACGAGTTCCGCGACGACGACGACAAGCTCGTGCTCCTCATGACGGTCCACTCCGGCGGCACGGGCCTCAACATCACGCGCGCGAACCACGTCGTCTTCCTCGACCGCTGGTTCAACCCGCAGGTCCACTTCCAGGCCCAGGCGCGCTGCCACCGCATCGGCCAGGACAAGGAGGTCGACGTGTCCTTCTTCGACGCGACGTGCACGCTCGACGAGGTCATGGCCGAGATCAACAAGCTCAAGGAGGGCAACGCGGACGTCGTCCTCGCGGACGGCTCCGCCGTCGGCGCGCCCGCCGCCGGCGCGCTGACCTTCGCGGACCTCACGGGCGTCCTCGGCAAGAAGCTCAAGGAGATCGCGGCGCGGCGCCAGGGCGAGCTCGGCGGCGGCGGCGGCGGCGTCGCCTTCGGCGGCTTCGGCGGCGGCGGCGGCGGCGGCTTCGCGGCCGGCGGCTTCGGCGGCCCCGCGGCCAACGGCTTCGGCGGCGGCTTCGGCGGCGGCGGCTTCGGCGGCCCCGCGGCGCGCGGCGGCGGCGGCGCGGCCTTCGGCCGCGACCCGAGCGAGGCCGTCGACGTCGACGAGGACTCGGACGTCGAGGTCGCGGACGCGAAGCCCAAGCCGCTGAAGCGCGCGAACCGCTCGCCCGGCGGCGCCAAGGAGAAGAAGCCCAAGGTCGAGCCGAAGCGCGAGTCCGTCGACCTCACGGCGTCGGCGGCGTCGCCGGAGAAGAAGCTCGCCATGATCAAGAAGCTCGAGGACATGGGCTACCCGACGCCCAAGGCGAAGCGCGGCCTCCGCCGCACGGACTGGAGCAGCGTCGCCGACGCCGTCGACCTCATAGAGAGTGGCGGCGCCGACCCGAACTGACCCTGTGATCCCCCCCCCCATCTCTGTTCCCGCGCGCGTGGCGCGCCTGTAAGTCTCCCCTGTGGCGCGGCTCCCGCGGCGCGGCCATTGCGGCTGGTGCTGAAGACGGCACCTCGAAACCGTGAACGAGTTCGAGCCATCGACATCATCGAGGTGTGGGGCTGCCCAGCCCTGGCGGCGCTGCCGCCATGGAGCGGGTCGACAGCGCGCGGTCCCTGGGCAGCGCGCGTCCCGGCGACAGCGTGCGCGCGACCGCGAACGACTCGGTGCGCACGCGCATCCTGAAGCGGCGCCTGTCCTTCCGGCCGTCGCAGCTCGAGAGCTGCCGGTCGCCGCTGCACTACATGATGCCCGGCGAGGAGTCGGACCTGGCGGACATCGACGCGACGTCGACGGCGGCGACGCACGTGTCGATCCTCAACGCCATGCGGGGCCGCGGCGAGGCCCAGGGCGTCGTCTCCGACGGGTCGCCGCGGCCGTCGCCGTACGCGTCCGCGCGCCGCGCGTCCAAGGCGAGCCTGCGGAGCATGCGCCGGGCGATCTGGTGCTACCACGTGCGCCACGGCGGCCCCTTCGAGACGCTGGTGAGCCTCGCGCTGCTCTGCTACCTCTTCGTGCTGCCGCAGTACGAGCGGACGACGGGACTGACGTGCCGGCCCTTCAAGCACGGCCGCCTCGCGCTCGGCGGCGTCGCCGTCGCCTGCGTCGGCGTCCTGGGCGTCGACTTTTGCTTCGGCGCCACGGTCGTCGGCTGGAAGAAGGGGCTCGCGCAGCACAAGTGGCTCCTGCTCTACGGCGCGCTGCTCGCCGTCTTCTTCGTCGACGAGGTCGCGTCCCTGTCCTTCAACTGGTACTGGGCGGGCGCGGGCGGGTCGAAGCACGGCGCCTGCCGCTCCACGGTGAGCTTCCGCCTGCTCCTGCTCCTCTGCCGCCTGCGCCACGTCCGCGGCGCGTGCTCGGACGTGCTGAAGACGCTGCCCCACCTCTGCGCGCCGCTCGTGCTCGTGGCCATCCACGTCATCGCCTTCGCCTTCGTCGGCCACCTCCTGCTCCACGACTACCTGCGGGGCGACGTCGACGTCGGCGGCGTCTCGAAGCGGAAGCGCTTCGCGTGCGAGTACGGGCCGACGAAGTTCGGCAAGGGCCCGGCGCCCAACTGCCCGCGCTACCCGTCCGAGGTCAAGGGCGAGACCTGCGGGCGGCCCCAGGACGGGCCGAACATGCGCCAGGACTACTTCTCGACCATGCCCGAGGCCGTCGTGCAGATGTTCGTCGCGCTGACGTCCGCGAACTTCCCGGACATCGCCTGGCCCTACATGCGCCACAAGAGCCGCATCTGGTTCGTCTTTTTTGTGGTTTACCTGTCCCTGGGCATCATGTTCGTCCTGAACCACGTGCTCGGGTCCGCGTTCTCCGCGTTCCGCCTCAACCACCGCGCGTCGATGAAGCGCCTCCTGGACAAGCGGTCGGCGTCCTTCGAGCGCATCTTCGCGTTCCTCGACCTCGAGGTCACGGCGACGGTCGACGCCCTCGCCGCGGACAAGCTCGTCGCGCTCCTGCGGCCGGACCTGCCCGGGTCCGTCCGCGAGCTCCTCTTCGAGGTCATCCACAACCGGGACGCGCTCAAGCCCCTCCCCGCGCCGCCGGACTTCGAGCCGCCCAGGGCGGCCGACGACGTGCCGCGGCCGTCGGAGACGCACCGCGACACGCTCGTGAGCACGAACTCGAACCCGGAGACGGACGACGCCGCGGGCGCGCTCGCGAAGCGGCCCGCGCCGCGCTGCAACCACGCGTCGGGCCTGCCCCTCGCGGGCTTCATGGAGCTCTGCGAGCTCGCGCTCCTCGTCGACGTCTGCATGAACCCGCTCCACGGGTCCGCGGTCTACCGCGAGGCCGCGCTGTCGCCGCGGCGCGCGAAGCTCACGTTCTCCGAGGCCGTGCGGCGCAAATGGGGCGGGCTCAGCTTCCGCCTGCCCGCGCCGGCGCCGCCGCCGTCGCGCACCGCGCGCGTCCGCGGTGGCGGCCTCGGCACGATCGCGAGCGAGACCGACGGCCGGTCGACGGTCGCGTCGGCGCGCGCGTCCGCGATCAGCGAGGTCGCGTCGAGCCGCGCGTCCAGCGAGGTCGAGGCGGGCGACGCGGGCGCGCCCGCGGGCGCGTCCTTCGCCGGCGACGTCCGCGAGCCGCGGCCGTCCGGCGCGACGCCGCGGCCGTCGGCGCTGAGCGACGCGTCGCGGCCGAGCTCCTTCTCCATCGACGCCTCCAAGGTGCCGCCGAGGCCGCCGCCGCGGGCCTGGCGCGCCCGCGCGGCGTCGCGCGCGGCGCGGTGGCGGACGCGCGCCGCGGCCGCCGGCGCCGCGCGGCGCCGCCGGTGCCGCGAGTTCGTCGGCGCCGTCCGCGCCTACCGCACGCTCGCGCGGCGGCGGAGGGTCCAGGCCCTCGTCCGGGCGCCGGCCTACGGGTCCTACCTCGCGGCGGTCAACTCCGCGAACGTCGTCGTCGTCCTCGCGTGGCTCTTCCACGAGCACCCGACGACGCTCCGCGAGGCGCTGTCCTTCGAGACGGACGTGGGCCGCCTCAAGTTCGCCCAGGACGTGCTCCTCGTCGCGCCCTTCGCCGACCTCTGGCTCAAGGTCTTCGCGCTGGGCTGGCCCGCGTTCCTGCACAAGCCGCTGCACCGCTTCGACGCGGCGCTGCTGCTCGTCACCGTCGGCGGGCCCGGCGTGCTCTACTTCGTCGACGCGGCCCACCCGAGGCTGGGCCAGGGCCCCGTGACGGCGCTGCGCGTGCTGCTGGCCCTGCGCCTCGGGCTCGTCGCGCGGCTCGCGGCGGGCTTCGCGCGGTTCGTGCTCGCGGTGGGCAACACGACGCCCGTGGCGCTGCGCCAGGTCGGCGTGCTCGTCGTCGTCTTCTACGCCTACTGCGAGCTCGGCCTCGTGCTCTTCGGGCGGCACCGGAGGCAGTGGCGGCCCACGCTCCAGGAGAGCCTCTTCGCGCGGCAGGGCTACGACCAGGGCAGCACAAGAGAGCGAAATTCCCAACTTCAAAGGCTCCTATCTCGGCCATGTTCCACTCGTTTCGGCTGATCTTTGGACGAGCGATCATCTCTCGGAACGGTCTCGAAGCGTGGATGTGTTTTTCGTAACGCGCGCGCGCGGAACACTCACGTTGAAGCGACGTTGAATCACCCTTGTGCTGCCCAGGCTACGACGCGGTCTTCGACTTCGACACGTTCTACAGCACGTGGGCCGTGCTCTTCGTGGTCTGGGTGGGCAACAACTGGCACGTCATGATGAGCGGGCCGGAGGAGGCCCACTCCGTGCTCGTCGCGCGGCTCTACTTCCTCACGTTCTACGTCGTCGCGAATTTGGTCGTGACGAACATCCTCTGCGCCTTCGTGCTCGACTGCATGGACCTCCAGCTCGCGGCGCTCGCCGAGGCGACGAACGACGACGCGCTGCGGAAGAAGGAGAACTGGGAGGTCGCGCTCGACGCGCTCCAGCGCGAGAAGCAGGCGCTCGGGCCGGGCGACGAGCCCGTGTGGATCATCGTCCCCAAGCAGCGGCTCCTGGACTTTTACCGGCGGCTGCTGGCCACGGACGCGCCCGACGACCTCGTCGCGGACCCGGGGCTCGGGCGGCTCGCCCAGCGCCAGTCGTCGGCGGACGCGCGCGCGCGGCGCCACGCGGACGGCGGCGGCTGGACGTCCATCGACCCCTTCGGCTACGGCGGCCTGCCGCCGTCGCCCTGGGACGCGGCCGACGACCCGCGGCGCTCCATGTCCCACGCCGTCTAGGGAGGAGATGAGCCCGCATTACGACACCGGGGCGGCGGCGAAGCGCCCGTTCCACGGGGCTCGCGGCGGGGGCCGGCGGGTCGGCGGGCAGGTCCAGAATGATGAATGGGGCTCCTTGTCCGTTGGCGTCAAACGAGCGACGCCGCGGGACAAAAGAGGACGGTAGGATTCGTCGTCCGTCGTGTGGACAAAATTTGGAGGCCGCGAGGCCGGACCCCGGCTCTGGCGCCGGGGCCGGGCGCGGCGTCGCGGGGCGAACTTGCGGCGGGGATGCGTGAAGGGGCGCGAGGGGAGGCTACGGAAAACCTCGTCGGGGGGCGTGGGCGGGCGAGCCGGAGGAAGCGGCGGGCCGAGGTCCCTAGATGAGGAAGCACGCCGACGGGTAGCCGTCGGGGACGTGGCGGTGGCTCGGGTGCATCTTCGCGAGGAGCGCCGCGTCCTTGGCCTGGCTGATGGCGTCGCGGGCCTTCTGCTTCTCCTTCTGGCCCATGCAGATCTCCTTCATGCCCGGGAGCCGCGTGACGTACGCCTTCGGCGCCGGGAGCTGCTTCCTGCGAGGCGGGGGCGGGGGTGGGGGTTCCCGGGGGCGCGTCCCCGGGGGCGGGGCGGGGCGGCGGGCGCGCGCGCGGGGCGAGCGAGCCTCCCGGGGGACCCGGGCCGCGCGCCGCTCGCACTGCCACACGAGGTTCTTCTGCATCCACTTGACGCAGTTCGTGAAGACGGACTGGGTCATCTCGTCCTGCTCGTTGAGGTAGTTGGCGAACTCGGAGAAGACCTCGTCGCAGATGCGGCCGTCCTCGGCGACGAAGGTCATCATGACCTCGGGATCGCGGTTCGACTTCTGCACGAAGGGGATGAAGTGCTTGAGCGCGTGGTTGTACTGGGACTTGGACGAGTCGCGGAACTTGCGCGTCCCGAAGGTGCCCTCGCGGGGGTTCGGGTCGTCCTGCATCATGGCCTTGACGCGCGTCGCGATCTCGTCGTCGTCCCACGCGCGCTTGCGCTTCGTGCCCGCGCTTTCGTCTTCGGCCGCGGGCGCGGGCGCCGCGGCGTCTTCGGCCGCGGGCGCCGCGGGCGCCGGCGGCGCCACCTCGGCGCCGAGCGTGGGGGGCGACTCCGCCACGGGCGGGGGCGTCTCGTCGAGCACAGGGGCTGCGGGGAGGGACTCCATCGGGGGCCGCGGTTGCGGGGTGTTTATCGCAAACACCTCGACAAACGTTGATTCGGGTGCGCTAGGGTTAGGGATGAATAATAAATCTTACACGCAAACTTAGATTCGGGTGGCTGCGAAGCGACGAAGCTGTTGCTGTTTTCCCGTGAAGCTCTTACTGTTCCATTGCACTCGAGGTTGGACGAGTCGGTCTTCAACACAGATTTCCTCTGGACCTTCCTCTGGCTTTCCCGCCGGGCCGGGGGGGGGGCGGCGCGTTCGAATTCCCCGGACCGATGCGCGGGACGCGCGAGTCCACACCCCCCTTGCGCCGACGCGGCCTCGAGGACAAAAAACTAGGGGGCTCGGGGGTCTCGGCGCGGGGACGGGAGGGGAGACGCGCGGGCCTCAGAGGAAGGCGGCGGCGGCCGCGTCGGGCGGCTGGAGCAGGGGCGCGGCCGCGTCCGCGTCCGGCGCGTCGTTCTCGACGAGGAGCACGTCCGCGTCGACGGCCTCGGCGGGGAGGCCCGCCCAGACCGTCTTCGGCGGCGCGAGCTCGCCCTTGAGCGTGAGCGAGTTCTGGAGGAGCGTCGCGCCGTCGGACAGCGTGCCGCCGGGCATGACGACGGCGCGCGACCGCACGTCCGCGCGCGCGCCGATCCTCACGGGCGCGAGCTTGATGACCATGTTCTCCACCGTGTGGCACGTCGCGTCGCAGAGCCTGCCCACGGACGCGCCGGGCCCCACGGTGAGGAGGTCGAACTCGAGCGCCTTGCCCAGGAGCGTCGACGTGTCGTCGACGTCCGCGCCCATCAGGCGGTAGAAGTAGGCCGCGAAGACCGTGCCGTGAAAGGCGTGGAGCAGCGGGTAGATAGGCGCGAGCAGCGTCATCATCAACGCCCAGGCGAAGTGGTAGGGGCTGTAGAAGCCGTAGTCGCCGACGGCGTACTTGCCGATCAGGACGAAGCGCTTCAAGAGGAAGACGAGCAGGAAGTGGAGGAAGACGGACACGAGGTTCAGCATGGGCAAACACGCAAAGTAGGCGTAGTAGCCCGTCCAGGAGTCGTACCAGTAGAGCATGTAGCCCGTCGCGATGATGCCCGTCTCGAAGACGTCGCGGAGCGGGTACACCAAAAGCGCGAAGAGCGAGTTCGCCGCGTTCCAGCCGAGGAACCAGGGCAGGCTGTGGTGGCGGCGGCGCGCCTCGACCTCGAGCTTCTGGAGGGGCGTCGCGGCGACCTTGGCGGACGCGTCGGCGTCGGGCCGCTTCCGGAGCACGACCGCGCGACCCGCCGCGTTGCCCGTGGCGACGGCGCCCGGCGCGAAGAGCTGCTCCGCCGCCGCGAGGGAGAAGGTGCCGAGCACGGCGCGCTCGCCGACGACGGCGCCCGGCAGCAGGACGCAGTGGTCGAGCACGTTGCCCTCGCGGCGGACGACGACGCGCCTCGCCGCGCCGCCGTCGGTGTCCTCGAGCGTCTCGTCGCGCGGCACGATGCGCACGAGCGACCCGAAGACGACGTCGTCCTCGACGGTGACGAGGTCGTACTCGACGCAGCGGAAGAAGTCGATGTGGACCCGCCTGCCGATCTTCGCGCCGAGGAGCCGGTACCGCGCGCAGAGCACCTCGCACGCCTGCGTGGAATTCAAATCTTCAACCCGACTTCAATGTGCGCATATGCGACAGTTTCGACGCAATCTCTTCGGCTGCGCTTCGAGAACTCGACGAGAGCAATCGATTCGTCCAAAAATCAGCCGAATCGACTTCGATGTGACCGAGCTCGAGAATTCTCAAGTTTGGTCAGGACCACCCAAACCAGTGGTTGAATTCCACACAGCCGCACGCGATCCACGGCCGCATGCAGTGCTCGAAGGCCTCGGCCTCCACGAGGCGCTCGAAGAGCCAGCGCCGCAGGGGCTTGTTCGTCGCGTCGGCCGTGCCCTCGACGAAGCGGCCCACGACGAGCCGCTTGAAGAGCACGACGACGACGAAGTAGCACTCGTGGAAGCCGACGCGCCAGAGCCACGGGTAGCAGATCCAGAAGAGCCAGGGCGCCTTGGGCACGGCCGGGTGGCCCCGCACGGCGGACCGTAAACCGATATAGACGTGCTCGAGCACGTAGACGAAGGGCACGTAGGGCAGCGCCTGGAGGCAGTAGAGGAGCGGCACGCCGAGCAGCGACCGCCAGAAGAGCTGCGCGTCGCGCCGCTCGCGGAAGGCCGCCGACGGCGGGTCGAGCCCCGTCGCCAGGTCCGTCGCGCCGACGGCCGCCGTCGTGCTCAGGGGCCCCGCCTTGGCCCGGGGCGGCACGGACCGGCCGGGCGCGACGTACGCGTGAACCCCTGCCACCCCGCCCGCGCCGACGCCGCAGGGCCGCCGGCAGAGGGCGCCGTCCCTGATGAAGTGGGCGTCGAGCTCCGCGCCCGTCGCCACCGTCGCGTAGGCGCCGACGTGGGCGAGGGGCGGGTCGAGCAGACGGCCGTCGATGAGCGCGCCGCCGTCGATCGTCGCGCCGAGCGCGCGGTAGTACCACGTCATGAGGTGCGTGCCGTGGAAGGACCGCTCGAGGCGCTCCGTGACGATGGACTGGACCTGGTGGGCGAACCACCAGTCGAGGTAGGCCTTGGAGTAGAGGGGCACGCCCGAGGGCTTCGCCGCGACGGCCGCGCGGCACGCCGCGGGGCTCCCGAGCGTCGCGCGCTGCGCGAGCCACGCGAGCGCGAAGGCCAGCGCGTCCGTGGCAAAGAGCAGCGCGGGCACGCAGCAGAAGACGACGGGCTTCGGCAGGCTCAGGTAGAGGTACCAGAGGCCGTACCACGCGGGCCAGTCGAGGTAGCGGAGGGCCAAGATGCCCGTCGCGCCCGCGGCCTGGGCCGCGAGGGGCCAGAAGGACGTCGGCGAGTGCGCGCGGCTCGCGTCGGTCTGGGTCACGGTCGACTGGCGCCGGAGCAGCGTCTTGGACGCGAGGTCGCCGGGCTGGAAGCCCGCGGCGATTTGTAGTTTCGCGACGACGGGCGCGAGCTTCGCGACGGACGCGTGCGAGTACATGGCCGTGCCCTTGATCTTCGCCGCGCCGGCGAGCGTGCGGCGGATGGCGTTCGTCGCGCGGCCCGCGAGGAGCGAGTTGCCCCCGAGCGCCTCGAAGTCGCCGTCGAAGCCGACCTTGGCGACGTCGACGCTCAGCGCGTCCGCGAAGAGCTGGCGCAGGGCCGCCTCGAGGGGCGACCAGGTGCGCGCGTCCCGGGGCGCGTCGTCGTCGGGGCCCGCGCCGAAGGCGGGCTCCGGGAGCTTCTTGCGGTCGAGCTTGCCCCGGTCCGTCACGGGGAAGTCGTCGAGCGCGACGATCGCCGACGGCACCATGTAGTGGGGCAGCTTCGCCCGGAGCGCTTTGAGCACGGACGGCACGTCGAGGTCCCCCGGCCGCGCGTAGGCCACGAGCTTGGCGTCCGTGCCCTTGCCGTGGAGGAGCGTCGCGGCGCCGAGCACGCCCGGCACGGCGCCGAGCGCGACGTCGACCTCGCCGAGCTCGACGCGGAAGCCCCGGAGCTTCACCTGGTGGTCGACGCGCCCCAGGAACTCGAGCGTGCCGTCGGCTCCGAACTTGGCGACGTCGCCCGTCTTGTAGCAGCGGTCGCCGGCGTTTCGGACGAGCGCGCGCGGCGGGTCGTCCGAGAACGCCTTCGCCGTCGCCTCGGGCCGCTCGAGGTAGCCGCCGGCGACGTCGCCGACGAAGGCGAGCTCCCCGGGCACGCCCGCGGGCGCGACGTCGCTGCCGTCGTAGTTGAGCACGACGACGCGGACGTGGTCCACGGGCCGCCCGATGGGCACGCAGGCGACGGGTTCCGCGACCGCGCCGGCGCCCCGCGCCGCGGGCGCCTCCCAGAAGGTGATGTCCGCCTCCGTCGGGCCGTAGATGTTGACGAGCAGCGCCCGCGGCAGCTCCGCGACGCACGCGTTCGCGACGCGCGCGGGCAGCGCCTCGCCGCACGTAAACGCGAGCCGCAGCGCGCCCAGGTGCGCGTTCGCGGCCCTGTTCGCCGCGTCGCCCGCGAAGCCCTCGGTTACGGGCGTCGCCGCGAGCAGCTCGAGCAGCACGCCGAGCTGCGCGGGGCTGAAGAACGCGGCCGTGCAGCCGCACGCGGCCGCGGACCGCGCGAGGTAGTCCGGGTCCCGCTCGCCGTCGGCTTTGAGCACGGCGAGCGTCGAGCCCACGGTCAGGGGCCAGAAGAGCTCCCACTCGCTCACGCCGAAGAAGGCCGGCGTCTTCATGAGCACGACGCCGCGCGCCGCGCCGAGGCGCCGCCGCGATTCCGCGCCGCGGCGGTCGTCGCCGTCGCGCGCGCCGCCGTCCGCGCGATCGCCGCCCCGCAGCCCCGCGCCGTAGCGCCGCTCGAACCAGGCGACGCGCCGCGCGAGCGTGAGGTGGGGCACGACGACGCCCTTGGGGCGGCCAGTTGTTCCGGAAGTGAAGAGCACGTAGACGGGGTCCGACGGCGCCGGGCCCGGCGGCGCCGCCGCCGCGGCGCTCGCCAGCAGGTCGAGCTCGTCGACGAAGACGACGCGCCCGCCGTAGCCCGCGGGCGCCGCGACGGCGCGGAGCGCGGTTTCGGAGACGACGCTCTCCGGCTTCGCGTCGTCGAACATGGACGCGCGGCGGCTCTCGGGGTAGTCCGGGTCCACGGGCACGTAGTAGGCGCCCGTGCTCAGCACGCCGTAGACGGCGATCGGCAGCTCGACGCAGCGCCGCAGCACGACCGCGACGGCGTCGCCCGCGCCGACGCCGCCGAGCGCCGCGCCGAGCGCGACCGCGCCGCGGAGCAGGGCCGCGTAGGTCACGGCGGCGTCCGCGCCGGCAAGTCCCTCGTCCTCGAAGAAGCCGGGCGCGACGAGCGCGGCGTCGTCGGGGTAGCGAGCGGCCGCGGCGACCATGGAGCCGTAGACCGTCGTCGCCGCGTCCCAGGGCGGGCTCGGCGCGTCGCCGAGGGCCAGGACGCCGCGGCGCTCCTCGGCGCCGAGGAGCGGCGTGCGCGCCGCGTTGCGCGCGCCGTCGGCCAACGCCGCGGCGACCGCGCGGCCGACCTGCGCCGCGAGGCGGCCGCCCGCCGCGGCGCCGAAGAGCTTGGCGTCGTAGAGGACGACGCCCGCGGGCGCCACGAGGCACGCGTCGAGGCGCGCGTCGGCCGCGGCCGCCGCCGCCCGCGCGAGGGCGTCGCCGGCGCCGCCGAGGACCGCGCCGGCCTGGAAGACGGGCGCGTACGTCGCGTCCGGCGCGCGGCCGAGCGCGGCCGCGAGGTCCGCGGGCGCCGGCGGCGCGCCGAGGCGCGCGGCGGCGCGCCGCGCGTCGGCGACGGCCCGGGCCAGGTCGTCGAAGGACGCGGCGCCGTCGCAGCGCACGGCGACGGGCGCCCACGCGTCGTCGCCCGGCGGCGCGTCGTCGGCCTCCTTCGTCTCCTCCGCGGGTTCGCGCCGCGCGCCGAGGGCGTAGACGCCGAGCACGACCTCGTCGCAGCGCGCGTAGTGCGCCAGGACGCGCGCCCAGGCCGCGAGCAGCAGGTCGTCGTCGCGGCAGCCGCCGAGGTCGACGCGCGCGGCCGCGAGCGCCGTGCGCGCCGCGGGGGCCCGGGGGAACTCCGTCGCAAGCTCGAGGAGCGGCGGCGCGTCGGCGAGGGCCGCGGCCCAGGGCTTGGCGTCCACGGGCGGCCGCGCGGGGGCGGAGTTGGCCGGCGCGCGCGCCGCCGCGCGGCTCCGGAGCGCGAAGGCGACGTAGACGAGGGACGCGGCGAAGCACCAGCCGTCGGCGACGGCGTAGGCGAGGCGCCGCTCCGGCGCCGCGGCCCAGTAGAGCGCCCCGACGCGGTAGGCGCGCCAGCGCACGCAGGCCGCGGCGACGGCCGCCGCCGCGGCCGACGCGCCCGCGGCTACGCCGGCCGCCGCCGCCGCGCGCGCGGCGACCCGGCGCGACGACGCGCGCCAGGCCTTGCGCGACCGCCCCTGGGCCACGGCGGCGACGAGGCCGCAGGCGATGCGCAGCGCCGACAGCACGAGCACCTGCGCCTCCGCCGACCCGCCGTGCCAGCGCCGGGTCAGCAATCCAAAGGCGCCGGCGCCGCGCGCGTCCGTGCAGTAGACCGCGGCGCCGAACTGGACCACGGCGTCGATCGCGCTGAACAGCAAGAGGGGAAGGGCCTCCATGGCACTACTCCTCCCCACGGTCAGTCCTGCCCGGCCGCGACTTATTCAGCATTCCAGCCACTGCACCTGCAGGCAAGATCTCTGCACTCACGTGTTCATCATTGGCTCAGCTTGAGTCAAGCATGCGCGCGCGCCCGCTTGGGATCGCGGCGCTATCCCAATGTATCCTGGAGCGAAGCGCGCTGCGCGGCGGCCCGCTGCGCCTAGTGTCGAAGACGACGCAAAAGGATGTCGAGCGCAAGGCCGCCGCCGGCGCGCGGCGCGCCGCGGTCCTCGTGCCCATATGCGTTGTCGACGGCGAGCTGAGCTGCGTCTTCTGCGTGCGCTCGGCCGCGGTCTCGACGCACAAGTCGCAGGTGTCGTTCCCCGGCGGCCACCGCGAGGACGGCGAGTCCGCGGCCGACGCGGCGCTCCGCGAGACGGCCGAGGAGTTCGGCGAAAGGTTTCGGGAGGGCTTCGAAGTCGTGGATCGCTGCTTGCCAGTACCGGCCATCACCGGAACCGTCGTCGACGCTATCGTGGCGACGCGCGAGGCGCCCGTGGACCTCCTGGCGGACGTTTCGAGGAGCGAGGACGAGGTCGACGCCGTCTTTTCGCTGCCCCTGTCGCATTTGCTCGAGCACCGCGAGGTGCGGGATTACGGCAATCGCGGCCAATTGCCCGTCTTCGCCGGCGGCCCGGAGGAGATCTGGGGCCTCACGGCCTACATCCTCGACGGCGTCCTCGAGCGGCTCGTCAAGCCGTGTTGGAAACAGCCGACTAGGTCGCCGCGCGACACGGCGATGTTCTAAGCCCCTAGACCGCGCTGCCGACGGGCGGCGGCGGGCCCGGAGGCGGGTGCTGCGACGGCCGCTCGCCCGGCGGCGGCTCCGGCGCCTTCGCCAGGCAGCGGCAGCAGAGGAGCCCGATGACGAAGTCGGCGACGTCCTCCTGCCACTTGTCGCCGTTGTAGACCTGCATGAGCCCGTTGTCGAACTTGGCCGCGCCGTGGCCCTGGATGAGCGACGCGCGCTTCTTCGCGGCGCGCGGCGGCGGCCCCGTCGGCGGCGCGGGCACGGGCGTCGCCGCGGGCGTCGCGGGCGGGGGGCCCGCGACGCTGCCCCGGGGGCCGATGTACTTCTTCTTCTTCTTGCCGCCGCGCTTGTTGAGCGTCGTGTCGATCGCGGACCGCTCCTTGCGCGGCATCGGCGGCGGCGCGGGGTCGTCCTTGGTCGTGTCGACGCCCCAGACGGGGTTCATCGACATCTCGTAGGAGCTCGTGGCCGCCTCCTCGGGCGCGGGCTCGGGCTCCGGCGCGCAGCAGTTGCGCAGCAGGTTCGACAGCGGCTTGAGGAAGAGGTAGGCGAGGAGCGGCGCGCCGAGCAGGAGCCAGAAGAAGGACACGCCGGAGCCCGTGCAGAGCCGCTCCTGCAGCACCTCGCTGTCCGTGACGATTTCCGTGCCCGCCTCGACGGACGTCACGAGCGTCGAGTCGACGACGGCGTCCGTCGTCGACTCCGTCACCGTCGTCCGCTCCGTGACGGTCGACGTCTCCGTCGTCGTCGTCCGCTCCGTGACGACGGACGACGTCGTCGTCGTGACGGCGTCCGTCCTCGACGTCTGGACCCGCTCGGAGCCGACGGCGACGACGACGGCGTCGACGATGGCCTCGGCGTCCGCGACGATGGTCTCGTAGGACTCGACCTCCGTGACGAAGGAGCAGCTCGCGTCGCACTCGAAGCCCGGCCAGTAGGGCGACGCGCAGATGGACGTGCCGCCGGCCTCGTCGACGCCGCCCTTGCGGTAGAACTCCGCCGTGCCCACCACATCCTGGTCGTTGGCGCCGCCGAAGCCGTACGCATAGTTCGAAAAATAATCGTTCGAGTACCCCGTGTCGCAGCTCGACAGCTGGTACATCATTCCGCTGTCGTAGTTCGACGCGGGCTCGACGACGATGATGTGGATGATGTAGCCCGCGCTCTCCAGGAAATCCGTGACCCCGAGGAGCGTGCAGTTGGCGACGCGCCTCGCGTCGCACCAGCCGCGGCCGCGCGCCGCGGAGACGTTGCACCATATGGGCGCGCCGTTGTACGACGCCTTCTTCACGACGACGTCCTCGTCCGTCCAGGTCCGCTCCGCCTCCGTGGGGGCGCCGTCCGTGATGAACTGGCAGAGCTTGGCGTCGTCGGACGGCGCGCCGGCGAAGTGGTCGTAGCAGTCCATGAGCGCGAAGACGTTCAGCGTCTGGAGCTGCACGGCCTGGTCCAGGCCCGCGATGGTGTCCAGGAGCCGCGGCTCGTAGGCCGCGGGCGGCACGGACTCGACGGCGTCGCAGCCCCACTGGACGACGCCGTACTCGAGCGTCGACCGCACGAGGCCCGCGGTGACGTTCGCGAGCGCGACGGCGGCTTCCTTCACCGCGACCCACTCCTCCGCGGACACGGACTTGGACGCGTCGAGGAGCAGGGACGCGTGGAAGGGCTTGTAGTAGGTCGCGTTCACCGTCGAATTCGCGTAGGTCGTGACGTTGCTGACGACGGTCTCGTTGAAGACCGACGTGACGTTCGCGGCGCGCGTCGCGTTCTCGAGCCGCGTGACGTTGAACGCGCTCGTCACGTTGCGCGTCACGTTGAGCAGGCGCGTCTCGTTGTAGGTGACGTTGAGCACGCTCGTGCGGTTCAGCACCGTCGTCTTCGTCTCCTTGTCGCAGGGCTCGAAGAGCAGCAGGATGGAGAGGACCGCGCCCGTGATGGCCAGGCCAGCTAAGCTGATCAGGACCCAGTTGCGCTTCACCCAGACGGAGCAGGGCGCGCGCCGCGCCAGCCGCGCCTTGGGCTTGTATTTGAACCGCGGGACGCCCATCGCAGGCTGCCCCGACGACGACAGGAACTGGCTGCGAGCGGGCCGCGTTTTATGAGCGGGTGCAATGCGACGGCAATATAACGTTGGTGCAGTTAGGTTTTAGATGGCGCGATAGCTGCCCCATGGAGTGCCGCAACCCGTACCTTCCCGGCGCTGGTCGGTCCGAGACGCGCGGCCTCGCCGGCGTCGGCGCCCACGCGAGCCTCGCCTCCACGGGCCCGCACGTCGCCGCCCACTCCGACCTGCGTCGCACGACGAACGTCGCGTCGGCGCGCCGCGGCCTCGACGGCGCCCGCTACCGGGAGCGGCTCCAGGCCTACGCGGGCCTGAGCGGCGCCGGCCCGCCGCCGCGAACGGGCGACGCGCGCGACCTCGCGGGCCACCTCTCGACGACGTCGCTGAGGCACGACGGCGCGCCGGCGGCGATGCGCGCCTTCGAGACGGCGCCCGCGCTGAAGCAGGCCGGCGCCTGCTCCCGGTCCGCCGAGGCGCTGGGCCAGGGGTCGACGTGGCGCGGCCCCGCGACGTCCGCGCGCAACGTCGACCCGCGGGCGCGGCCGGCGGCGCCGCGGCCGCCGCCGCCCTTTTCGCGGCCGCCGGCGGCCTGCGCGCGGGCGCTGCTCTTCTTGGCGAACGCGGACGTCGCCGCCTGCGCGGCCGTGTCGGCGTACTGGGCCGACGAACTGCTCCTCGACTACGCGGCGCTGCGCGTCCGGTTCGGCGCGCTGCTCCCGGGGGAGTCCGCGCCGTCGTTCCTGGCGTCGCTCGCGGCGCTCGCCGCGGCCCGCGGCGCCCGGGGCTGCGCCGACGCGCTGGCGACGGGCTCCGCGGCGCACCACGGCGTCGCGTTCCTGCCCGGGGGCTGCGTCGCCTGGGGCCGCAACGACTCGGGCCAGACGGGCGACGCGCGGCTCGCCGGCGGCCCCGCGGGCCCGCCGCTGCCCGCGTGGGTCGCGGGCCTGCCCGAGCGGACGCCGCCCGTCGCCGCGGCGGCGGGGGCGGACCACAGTGTCTTCCTCGACAGCGACGGCGCCGTCTACGACTGCGGCGTCGACGGCGCGGGCGACCGGCCGATCCCGCGGCCCGTCTCCCGCGTCCGCGAGATCGCGCGCCGCGTCGTCGCCGTCGCCGCGGGCGAGCGCTACACGCTCGCGCTGACGACGCGGGGCGACGTCTACAGCTGGGGCGAGTGCCTCTTCGGTTCGCTCGGGACGGGCGCGTTCCTCGAGAAGCGGCGCGCGCCGGCGACCGTCGGCCTCCCGCGGACGACGCGCGTCTCCGCGGGGCCGCACCACGCGCTGGCCGTCGCCGGCGGTCGCCTCTACGCCTGGGGCCGGGGGGCAGATGGGGAGACGGGCCTCCGGCAGCGTCCTGTGGCCGTGACGATTTTCGAGAGATTTGAGGTGGGAACACAACGAGAAACCGTCACCGTCATGCTCGGTAGGCCTCCGGGCGCCCGCGGCGACGCCCGCGGCGGCGACGCGGCGCCGCGACGTCGCCGGCGACCGCGCGCACGACCGCGCGCGGCCGGAGGCCGTGGCTTTGGCCGGCGACGTCGTCGACGCGTCCGCGGGCGGCGCCCACTCCCTCGCGGTGGTCGCGGGCGGCGCCGTCTTCGGGTTCGGGCTCGCGAGTTTCGGGCGCACCGGCGTCGACGTCGGCTGGCCGCGGCGCGCGAACGTCTGGCGGCCCGAGGCCGTGGCCCTGGCGGCGCGCGTCGTCCGCGTCGCCGCGGGGGGCGAGCACTCGCTCGCCCTCGACGACGGCGGCGGCGTCTGGTCCTGGGGCAGGGGCGGGCTCCACGGGCGCGCGACGGCGCGCGACGCGTTCGCGCCCGCGCCCGTGAAGCTACCCTCTCCCGCCGTCGCCATCGCGGCCCACGCGGCCCACGCCCTCGCGGCGACGGCGCCGGGCGACGACGGCCGCTGCGCGGTCTACGCCTGGGGCCGCGGCGACCACGGCCGCCTCGGCGTCGCCGACGCGTTCGGCAACTGCGACATCCGCGACCGGGCGACGCCCACCGTGGTGACGCTGCCGTCCGAGGCCGACCGGCGGAGGCACGCGCGCGCGCCCTACTACTGAGGCTGCGGCTCGACGGTGGTTAACTAGCGACGGAGCGCGCGGTGCGTCCGCGCGGCGGGAAGTGTGCAGGCTGTTCAGGTGGGCGGCGCGGTCGGGCGAGGTCGGGGGGTCTAGCACTTCCGGCGGCCCCAGTTCTTGTGCGTGGCCTGCTTGCGCTTCGCGTCGTGGTACGCGAGCGCGCGCGGCGCCGGCTGCTCGGCGCCGCGGCGGCTCCTCGCCGGGTAGTCGAAGCGCTCGCCGTCGAGGTAGGAGTCCTGGGCCGTGAAGCTCTGGAGCGTCATCGTCGGGGGCTCGTCGAGGACGAGGTCCAGCGCGCGCTGGATGCCCTCCTGCATCTCCAGCAGCTCGAGGTCGGCCAGGAGCTCGTTGGCGGCGTCCACCTCGTCGAGCTCCTCGAGGTCGGCGAGCGTCTGGAAGGAGGCGGGGCGGAATTCGTCGGCGTGGATGTTGAGCATGTTCGGGGGTGTGCTGCGGGAGTGGTGGACGACGTCGGCAAAAACTGGGAGAGCAAAGAACAAAGAGCTTGTGAGTGCGAGGCATCATGCAAGATCGGCCTGCAAGATCGGCCTGCCGGAACAGGCCGCGCGCGCTCGCGCTCTCCTAGCTAGCCTCTAAACGCGGCGTCGCGGAGAGTGGTCCGTCGAGTGGTCCCCACGCCGGGCCCCGGTCGCAGGGCGGCGCGCCGCAGAGCTCCTCGAGGAGTCTCGTCTCGGCCAGACGCGGCGCAGCGCTGCATCAACACTGAGATCAAATCAGCGACAGCATCGAATGACGCCTGCTGCGCTTTTCCTGAGAAAGCGCGCGTGTCGAGGCACGTCATCCGGGTGTCGCTCGTTTGTGCGCGATGGAGGCGCTTGGCTTCGTGTCGGGCCCAGGTGCAATGGACGCGGCGATCCAGCGCGGGCGGACGCAAGTTCGAGGACTTCGTCCACCACCCGGACGGCTCGTTCCAGCACCGCGACGACTCCTCCTTCGGCTCCCAGCCCGCGTTCGTGGTCGTCGCGCGCCACGGCACGGTCCTGAACGTCCACCTCCTCGACCGGCCCCGCAAGGACCACTTCAAGAAGTCGACCTGCTCCGACGCGGCAACCCTAATAATCCCCAGGTGTCTCTCCGCCATCGGTGCCGTTTAACGCGTTTCTTTCAACGTCGCGCCCTACGCTAGCCCTACGCCTCGCGTTGCGCGCCTAGCCAGGCCTCTAGCCGCGCGCGCCGCGCGCGCCTCGAGGAGCCCGGTGAGAACCACAGATTTTTGTGGAGGATTGAGCCCCGTGCAACACCGCGAGAGCCGCCGGCTACCGACCAGGGCGCGACGCACAGGGACGATGGTCGCCCCCTGGATAAGCGAGCGTGCCCTCGCGACGCACCCCGAGGTCTTCTCCCTGAGCGAGATCATCCTCGAGGCGCACCGATCCCTCGCCCAGAAGCTCCGGGAGAGCGGCGAGGTCGAGCGCATGAAGACGAGCCGCCTGCTCCGGAGTTTCGTGCCCAAGCTCGTGCGCCAGGACGTCGCGTCGCGCGACCCGTCGAAACGCTTCCGTCAAGCTCAGGGCGCGGTCCTCTTCGCGGACGCGTCGGGCTTCACGGTGCGCGAACCGTCTCGCTCGAACCGTCTCACGCACCTACCGTAGGCCCTGACCCAGTCGCTCTGCGCGGACAAGGACGGCGCGGAGCGCCTCACGGGCATCCTCAACGACTTCTTCGGCGTGCTCATCGACCTCGTGGAGTCGTACGGCGGCGACGTCGTCCAGTTCTCCGGCGACGCGCTCACGATCCTCTGGCGCTGCGCGGAGAGCGACGACGACAAGGGTCTCGCCGGCGGCGAGGCGCAGGCCGTCATCCTCGCGTCCGCCTGCGCGGCGGCCATGCAGCGCGCGATCGCGGGCGACGCGCGGCTCGCTGGCGGCCCGCTGACGATGCACATGGCGCTGGGCTGCGGCGCCGTGACGCTCGCGCACCTCGGCGGCGTCTGGGGCCGCTGGGTGCTGGTCATGGACGGCCCGGCCATGGCCCAGATCGCCCTGGCCGAGCCGCTCGGCGGCAGCGGCGACGTCGTGCTCTCGCCGCGCGCCGCGAAAGCGCTGCGCGAGACGGACGGGTCGACGCGCGCGGACTCGATCCTCGAGGCGCCCTACGGCGACGCGCACGCGGCCCACGCGCGCCTCGCCATGGGCGGCGATTTGAGGGCCCTCGCGGCGGCGGCGGCCGCCGTGAAGCACTCCCTGGGCGACGTGCCGGCGACGCGGGGGTCGCTGTCGGGCTCGCCGGGCGACGCGGCGAAGATCGCCGCGTACGTGCCCGCGACGGTCTGCAAGCAGCTGCTGCTGAACCGCCGCGAGGACAAGATCGACGCGTCGGCCGCGGAGCTGCGCCACGTGTCCGTCGTCTTCGCGCACATGGCCGGCGTCCGCGCGTCCGCGGCCGCGGCCGTCGTCGAGGCGCTCCAGCGCGCCGTCGGCGTCGGCGAGGGCGACGTGAACAAGATCCTCGTCGACGACAAGGGCATGCTCTGCCTCGCCGTCTTCGGGCTGCCGCCGCTCGTCCACGTCGACGACGCGACGCGCGCGACCGCGGCGGCGCTCCTCGTCGTCGGCGAGCTCGCGGCGCTCGGCGTCGCCGCGTCCGTCGGCGTGACGACGGGCACGGCCTTCTGCGGCTTCGTCGGGTCCTCGGTGCGCCGCGAGTACACGGTCATGGGCAACGTCGTCAACCTCGCCGCGCGCCTCATGTCCGCGGCGAAGCGGGAGGCCGGGCGCGTCCTCGTGGACGCGGAGACGCGCGCGGCGGCGGCGTCCGCGTCGGCGTCGCGCGACTTCGACTTCCGGGCGACGGCGCCGCTGCAGCTCAAGGGGCTCAAGGACCGCGTCTCCGCCTTCGCGCCCGTGGAGGTGGAGCGCGCCGACGGGTCGCTCGCGTCCAAGGTCTTCTTCCGGGCGACGCGGCGCACGCCGCGGCGGCGGTCCTACCTCCAGAAGCTGTTCCGCCAGTCGTCGCTGGGCATCCACGGCGACCCCCTGTCGCGGTCCAACGCCCAGGTCGGCCCGACGCGCCACGCCCAGGAGCTCCTCTACGGCTTCTCGCGGCCGCCGGAGCGCGTCTGGCCCGCGCCCGAGGGGGCGGGCGCGGCCGAGGCGCGCGCCGCGGGCGGCGCGCTGTGCGTCGCGGGGCACACGGGGCGGGGCATGCACGCCATCATCGACGACCTCTGCGACTGGGGCGAGGACAAGATGCGCTGGACCGTCTTCCGCGTGGACCTCGACGACCGCCACGCGAGCCAGGCGGAGGCGCTGCGCCTCGGCTTCGCGTCGCGGCGCGGCGACGCGCGCGAAACGACGGCGTGGCGCCTCGCCGCGCTGTCCATGCGCTTCGCCCGGGCCTGGATCCTCGACCTCGCCGCGGCGGCCGGCGTCGACGACTGGCGCGCGCTCGTGCCGCCGGAGCTGCGGCCGTTCGCGGGCCTCGCGGCGGCCGTCGTCGACGACGACGCCGCCGCGGACGACGTCGCCCTGGAGACGAGCGCCAAGGAGACGCTGGCCGTCGCCGTCATCGTCGCCGCGCTCCGGAGCGGCGTCGACCGGCTGCCCGGGCCCGCGCTCTTCGCGGCGGACGTCCGCGACTCGTCGTCGTCGACGTGCGCGCTCCGCGGCGGCGGCTGGCGGCTGCTGGCGGCCCTGGGCCGCCGCTGCGGCGAGGCGACGGCGCGGGCCGCGCCGGCGCCGCCCATGCTCCTCGTCGTCGCGGCGAAGCCCCGCGACTTCGGCCGCGGTCCCGCGGCGCAGCTCTGGGCGGACGCGGGCGAGCGCGGCGCGGCGCTGAGCCTGCGGGCGCTGGGCCGGGGCTCGGACGCCTACGGCACCTACGTGGCCCAGTGCCTCGGGGGCGTCGACGACGTCGTCGACGCGCGCGACGACGGCGGCGCGGCCGCGCGCGTCGCCGGCGGCGACGAGGCCCCGCTCCTCGGCGGCGCCGCGGAGGAGCCGCCCCGGGACCCGCGCCGGGTCCTCGAGGACTTTGTGCTCGAGTACAGCGGCGGCGTGCCCGCCTTCGTGCGCGAGATCTGCCGCCACCTCGTCGCGTCCAAGGCCGTCGTCGTCTCCGGGACGACGGCGTTCCTCCACTGCCGGCGCCTGGACGCGGCGGCGCACGTGCCGCCGCTCGTCGCCACGTTCGTGAAATTGGAGTACGAGGGCCTCGCCGACGACGAGAAGTTCCTCCTCCAGGCCGCGTCGGTGCTGCCCCGGTCCTTCGCGTTCCGCGCAGGGCAGCACAAGAGAGCGAAATTCCCAACTTCAAAGGCTCATATCTCGGCCATTTTCCACTCGTTTCGGCTGACTTTTGGACGAGCGATCATCTCTCGGATCGGTCTCAAAGCGTGGATGTGTTTTCCGTAACGCGCGCGCGCGGAACACTCACGTTGAAGCGACGTTGAATCACTCTTGTGCTGCCCAGGTTCCGCGAGCTCGTCGTCGCCGCGGACGTCTTCCGCCGCTTCTTCGAGGCCGGCGACGCGGACGCGACGCTCCACGCGAACCTGAGGGTCGCGGCGCTCGCCGAGTCGCTCATCCTCGACGACGTGCTCACGCTCGCGGCCGCGGACGACGACGACGACGACGCCGCGCGGCGCGCGCGCGCGGCCCCGCGGGGCGACGACGACGGCGCGCAACCCGACGGCTTCCTGGACCAGATCCTCTGGATCTGCAAGAAGACCGACGCGGACGCGCCGCCCGCGCTCGAGCGGAGCGGCCGGGGCTCCTTCGCGGACGACGTCGACGCGCGCGCCTGTGTGGAAATCAACCACTGGTCCTGACCAAACTTCAGAACTCTCTATCTCAATCAAATCGAAGTCGATTCGGCTGATTTTTGGACGAATCGATTGCTCTCGTCGAGTTTTCGAAGCACAGCCAAAGAGTTGCGTCGGAACATTCGCGTACGCTCACATTGAAGTCGAGTTGAAGATTTGAATTCGGCGCAGGCGCGCGCCTACGGCGCGCTCGAGGCCGCGGAGGACGAGGCGCCGCGGCGGCTCCGCTTCAAGAACCGGGCGCTGCGCGCCTACGTCGTCTCCATCATGTCGTCGTCGAAGCGCGG